TCTGAACTTTGCCGCGTGATTTTGTGGAGCAGCAGCACCCAGGGGCCACATTACTCCAAAGAGAGTTTAGATATTTTATTTAGATATCATATTTATCACAGATATCATGTGTACATAAGTGTGAGTTTAAAAATCATGTGTAACTTTTCCTCCCCTAACTGTGCTTTTTAGCATTTGGGTTTACTGATGACTGTGGTTGGATACAGAGTAATTGATGATGCTATGCAGAGGTGTAAAGACATTTTCCAGCATCTCCCAAGATTTTGTTGGGCTTGTGGGTGTTTTATCCCACTCAGGATAAAGAAATCTTTAATTCTACCCTGGATTAGAGTGTTTTGGTTTGGTTTAGCACTGAAATAAAGTTCTGATAACAGAACTGGTCCAACGCTCCTGTAGAGATAACAGGACTTGGTTCTTAACAACTCCCAACTATAAAATTAGAGGATATTTCTGTTCCTGGCAGGAGGGTTGCCATCAGGCCTTGCAGCCCAGTTGGGAAGGTTTTCCTGACGCTCAGCATGTGTGTTTTAATTTTAAATTCATTATTCTGTGCCATGGGCATAGAGCGTTCTTGCTCTGGGTCAGTGTAGGCAAGCAGAGTTTCCCTTTAACAGAGCTTTAAAAGAGCCCCCTTTCCTAGAGTTCCAGTAATTTTCCTGCATAAAAAATGTTGGATATTCTGCCCCATTCTGGTTGTTTGGTACCCCAAATTTTGCATCCTGCTTTGCCTCAGCTAACACTGTGTGAGAGTAAAGATTTACTCTTATATTCCATGTGCATTTCAAAGTCTGCATGCCCATTTTATATCTTTTTAAAATATATTTGAACACCATAAACTGTGTTTTACTCAGATCCCTTCAGTGACCCCATGCTGACATACTGCCAGTGTCTCTCTCCATGCTTAGGGCAGCAAAGCTGTTTCTGAATTCCCATTTGGGAAGCAGGAATCCCCTCATGGAGTCCAGAGAGGTCACCTGGAGAACAATCTCATCCAATAATTAAATGAAAATATGGAGCTGTTGGACTCTAAAAAAAACCTTAATGTCTTTCTTCAGTTCTTTGCTCCATTTCTTTTGCCAAGTCTGGGGGCTCTGTGCTCTTCTCTCCAGTGAACTTGCATCTCTCCACTTTCCAGCAGACCAGGTTTCAGGTATTCAGGGATGGGAGGAGTAAATCCTCACATTTTTATTGCAAGTAAGGATGCCAAAAAAGGGGCTCTGTGGACTTCACTGCACTAGAAACTTTTGCAGATAGTGGTAATGTTAACAATTTGGTTCTTAATGTAAAGATGATCTTCCAGGAATAGGACATTTGAATGTGCCCCTAAACGTAAATTAATTTTAGATCAATGTATTTAAGCTGATTTTTAATCAATCTCCAGCTTGAGGTGTTTTTGTTTGGATTAAAGTGTTTCATGTTGTTTTTTGTTGTTAAATGAAAGCACCTGTTGTTTGAATGGAATTCCCTAATACTCCAGTGCTCCAGGACCCTGTGTCCATCAAAGGGTAGCAGAGGCTTTGTTGTCATGCTGAGAAATGAAGGAATATTTTGGAGGTAGCTTTCCAGGATATCTCCTGAATTCTGCAGGAAGATGGTCATTAGAAGATGAATATAGGAGTCATATGGAATATTAACAACTGCAATTTAATTAAGTTTAATAGACAGCAGTGATTTTATCCTATAGCTTCTGTCTTTCTGTGAACAATCTGCAGGGTTCTGCAGAGCAGCAAATGCCCCAGAAATTACAGCAGGCTGTCCCAAAGCCATAATTGTATCTCTTGAGCTCAGATCCTGAAGGCAACCAAACGAAGAACTGGAAAAATGCTAGGAAAAAAGGAATAAGGGGAACTTATTTCCATTTAAGCTTTGGAACAGTTGCTCTGGAATAGTTCCTGCTGCCTGTCTTGAAATGAGAGTAAATCTCTGAATTATTGTGGAGAAGGTTGTTTGTTGAGGACTTGAATCCCTCTTCTCATTTGGCCAGAGCAGGAACAGTTTTTGTTGGGGATGGGAGGGAGGGAAGAACCCCAGAGCCTGGGAGTGAGGGTTTCTGACCCAGCCCAGAGAGAAAAAAGGAGCAGAGGAGGGAGAATTAGCCAAAATCCTGCAGCTGAAGGAAATGATGCCAGGAAGGACCTGATGACTGACCATCAGGTCTGTGGAACAGCTGAAAATGGGCCAAGAGAAGTAGAGACCTTGAACTCTGGTATTTTTTGGTCATTTACTTGACTATTTAAAAAAACTCCATATCTGGCATTGCTGATTAGTGCTTTTGCACTGATCTCAGCAGCAGTATAAATTTTTAGTGTGGCCAGAGGAGTTTCACAGCACATTTGCTGTGCAGCTGCTGAATGTCCCATGTGGAATTATGGATATCCAGAGGCCTTCTAGAGCACAGTGATGGTTTCTCAGCTTAGATGTGTGTGGAGACATAAAACTCTGCATGATTTATGGCTTTTTGGGGGGCAAAAAATGTAAAGCCCCCAACAAGTACTTCAACAAAGAGTCAGGATAATAAATATATAATAAGTCTGGCAACACCCCCCTGTCACCACTGAAATAATGCTGCTCTTGGCTCATCACACCAAGGTTTTATTGCTCTCTGCATGCTCCTGACCAGTCTTGAGCTGGCAAAGCTGGGCCTAATGGACCCTGCACTCCATTAAGGGCTGCTGGAAGCAGGCAGTTGATGGATGGTGCTGACTCCCAGTGACTCTCAGGGAAATCCCTTGGGAGCAGCTCGTGCCTGCTCTGAAATACACAGCCTGTGATTGCTGGATAGAAGCTTTTTCCTGGCTTGCAAAATGCCATGAGGTTTAATTAAATCTGTGATTTTTGATTGCCTGTAATTCAGCAGGGCCTTGAGAATGTTGTTGTGAGGTTCTGCTGTGTCCTGCTTGCTCGGCAAGAACTGAAGGTAAAAGATTAAAAAATACAAGGAGGAAACAAAATTCATGATGCAGTCATTCCTTATTTTCAGGATTTTTTCCCCAGTGGGATGTTGTATATTTTGAATCCCAAAGGCTGGGCTTTAGGGATATTAAAAACTCCTTCTAAGGCAGCACACGTCTGTATTTGTCTGTACTGTTGTTGTAAGATTACACAACATCTCCAATACTGAATTCAAGACCTTCTAGGGGTTACTTTAGCAAAAATTTCCTCGTGAAATGTCTCAAAGCTCTTCAGGCTCTTCATTTCTAAGAATATCTGTGAAGTTTGTGTTAATTTTGGATGAGGATGAGCATACTTTTTTTAAAGTTGTTTGCTCATATTAAAAATAAAGGCAGAGGCACAAATAATAATGAATCTAATTATTATTAGAAAGATGCATTCTCTTAGGATTTTGAAACTTGTTTGCTTTTTATCTTCACTTCTACCATCAAAATGTCTCGTGATAGAGAAGCAAAAAGGCAGCTGGATCAGTAGGACTTTGTCCAACACATGGAGTAAGGTGCATGGTCCAATAGCTCTTTTTAGACAGTGAGTCACAAGTCCTCAAACGTATGATAAAAATTATGATTTTTAAACTCTACTTTCATTTAGATGCCCTAAAATAATTTCTGCATAAGACTTCTTGAAGTATTTCAGTTGCAAGTGTGTCTCAGAGGAGATAACCTTTATAGGAGAGCAAGGGTTAGAACTATTTTGGTGGAAAATCAATAACTTTTTTTGCCTCAACTTGAATTTGGAGGCAGATCCTCATGTTTACTGTGGAGGGTGGTGGTTCTGCTGGCCCTGAAGCTGTGGCTTTGTGTAGCTGGAGGTCTCTTCATTTGCTCATGGCCATAGCACTAGCCATTAATAGTGGAAGACGTGGAAAAGCAGAGCCCAGGGAAGCAGGAAAGGGAGGTTTACTGCTTTTTCTGTTTAATTAATATGTTGTACCACAATTTTCTTCCAGCAAGTGAATCCTAAATATTAATTGATGCAGGTTGTGTGACACTTTGATGGTTGGGACGTTCCACATGCCCCAGTCACAGTCACATGCACTGGGAACCTCAAAACCCCCAGATCCCAAAGCGTGGGAAGCAGGAGAATCTGGGTGACACTTTGATGGTTGGGATGTTCCACATGCCCCAGTCACATGCATTGGGAACCTCAAAACCCCCAGATCCCAAAGCATGGGAAGCAGGAGAATCTGCCCTTCTGCCCCACGCAGGTGAAACCCCACCTTCAGAGCTGCCTCAGCCCTGGGATCCAACATCAGAAAGATGTGGAGCTCCCAGAGCCCAGAGGAGGCCATGGAGATGCTCTGAGGGTGGAGCCCCTCTGCTCTGGAGCCAGGCTGGGAGAGCTGGGGGTGCTCACCTGGAGAGGAGAAGGCTCCAGGGAGAGCTCAGAGCCCCTGCCAGGGCCTGAAGGGGCTCCAGGAGAGCTGGAGAGGGACTGGGGACAAGGGATGGAGGGACAGGACACAAGGAATGGCTTCCCACTGCCAGAGGGCAGGGTTAGATGGGATATTGGGAAGAAATTGATCCCTGTGAGGGTGGTGAGGCCCTGGCACAGGTTGTCCAGAGCAGCTGTGGCTGCCCCATTCCTGCAAGTGTAGAAGGCCAGGTTGGATGAGGCTTGGAGCAACCTGAACTAGTGGAAGTTGTTGCTGTCCATGGCAGGGGGTGGCACTGGAAGAGCTTTAAGGTCTCTTCCAACCCAAATCATGCTGTGATTTAGAAGGAATATAGGAAAAGAAAAGGGGGAGTTGACACATGCTGGACGTCCTTGGCAGGCTTGGACTCCCACACAGCCACCCTGAGTCCAAACAAATGTCTGGTGCATCTGAAATTGGGAAATGCTCTGTGGTTCGCTTTGTTTCAGGTTGTTCCAGAGGTTCTTTATCCTTTTCTTTGGAATCACAGAAAGCATTGATGGAATATTTGCAGGAGAGATGTCTGTTTCGGTAAATGGGTTATCAGTTTCCACAAAACCCTTTCGATTTTGTCTTTTATTTTTGCTTGCACCAAATCATCATTATGTCATCTGTGGGATTTTATTTTTTTTAGGAGGAATATAGAGCAGAAGGAATTAGCTGGCACAACATCGACTACATAGACAACTCCAGCTGCATCAACCTGATCAGCAAGAAGCCAACAGGGCTGCTCCATCTGCTGGATGAGGAAAGCAAGTGAGTAGGAAAATGCTGGCTTTGGAAATGACATTTGTTTTTCAGTTAAAATGTGTTTATCCTTCAGTTTTCTGAAAAAAAAACAGCTTCCCAGAAAGGTGCTAATAGCTCACTGGGCTGATTGGTGTTTCTAGTGTTGTTTTTGAGGTGGCAACACACAGAGTGGAGAATCAGCCAGCTGAGCAAAAAGCCTTAAAAATAATAATTAAAATTCCTTTCCAGAATTTTTTCCATTCAAGGGAAGGGAACAGGTTTCCTTTGCTTCTCTCCTCATTTCTTTCCTTGTCTCTTGGGGTGTGACAATGTGAAGGTGCTGAACCCAAGTGTTTGAGTTAAAGCAGGATGTGTAGGTGCTGTTATTGAGATATAAGGTGGATTTATCAATTTACTGGTAAAAATTGAACTAGAGTGAAGTGAGGGCACTTGTCCATAGGGGCTGCACTTGCACAGGGTTTCATGGGCATCAGGGCCTTAGCTCAGATTTGCATCCTTGGTTGCATCTATGTGTCTCAGGAGAAGTTCTTGGGGGAACGTGGGGCTGCCTTGGTGTGGAGCAGTACAGTTCTCCCATTGGATGCTCGTGCCAGTTTCTTCCATGTGAAAGTCAGGGAAAGGCCAGGTGGGTTTTGCTGACGTCACCTCAGATCCACGTGGCCAGGGGCACGAGGTCTGCTCCCACCATTTGCCTTGCAGGTTTCTCCCCCACTTCTTGTCTTGTTAACAAGAGACCAGCAGTGATACTTTCCCAGTGATATTGTACTGGGATAAAAAAAACTTAAACTGGGTGAAGTTGTGAAATACATCCCCATGCTGCAGATTTCCATGAAGTTTGAGGATGGAGGGTTGGCTTTCTCTACTGAAATAGACAAAGAAGTGGAAGCTCAGAATGTCTCTGTTTTCCCCTTCATGGACATGAAAGAAGTGGAAAAGTTTTCCTGTTAGGTTTACAGCTTCTTCCTTTCAATTCTCTCCACTCAGTTTTCCTCAAGCCACAAACCAGACGCTGCTGGACAAATTCAAGCGTCAACACGAAGGGAACTCCTACATTGAATTCCCAGCAGTGATGGAGCCAGCTTTCATCATCAAACACTACGCGGGCAAAGTGAAGTACGGAGTCAAGGTCTGTCACCCAGCTGTTCACCAGCAGTTGCTTTCATCTAAATCTGGGACTGGGAAGGAAATCCTCAGAGGCTCCACAGAGATGTTTTGGAGAGGACTTGGCCCAAGAAGATGGGAGGGTCAGGAGAGAAGTGTTGGGGAAATGAAAATGTAGTAGGGACAGGGTCTTCCCTTTCTCCTTCACGTGGGCATTTTGGGAAGAATTTAGGGAAGCACAGTGAGTTCAGTTCTACACCCCAACAACAAGTTGAAATTGGGTGTCTGGTGGCCTTTCTGAACTTGATGTGTGTAGAAAACCCAGTGTTTTCCTCATCATTAGCCACTTTTAATACAGGTTATGTGTGCTTAGTCTCCACATCCCACATGCTACATGTGCTTTCTGGAATCCCATGCAAATTATTCCAAAGTTGACCCCATTTCTATTCATGCCACTTATTAGCAGAAGGAATTCCGGTGGCCAGATGAGCCCGTGTGAGAAATAGCCTCGGGATTTGCAGCTGCAAATCTCTCATCATGTTTCTGATGCAATAAATACACACGATAAACATCAGAGATGATGATCATAAAGAGGTATCCAGTATAGGAGCAGGAGAGAAAAAAGAAACAGGATTCAATAATTGTGCTGGCCCAGAGATAGCCTGGAAGTTCCTACCTGGAGTATCATGTGGATATTGTTTCTTTTCCTCTTTCCTTCTCCTTCTCCTTCCCTAGGATTTCCGGGAGAAGAACACGGATCACATGCGCCCGGACATCGTGGCTCTCCTGAGGAGCAGCAAGAACGCCTTTGTCTGTGGCATGATTGGGATTGATCCCGTGGCTGTTTTCCGCTGGGCTGTCCTGAGGGCCTTTTTCAGGGCCATGGTGGCCTTTAGAGAGGCTGGAAAACGATACGTGGAGAAGAAAACTGGTACGTGTGCCCATCACCTGGTCCTGGAGCCTGTTTTTCAGCAGTAATTTGGGTCTAATATGTTATTACCCTGTTTTAAGTAGCCTGACTTATTAGGAGTTTTGAATCTATTAGAAAATTTGTTTAAATAACAGGTAGATTTTTTGCAGGAATCGCATTTAAAGGTACATTTGGATTTTAACGTATCATAAGGAAATATATTCATTTTACTGTTGCTTTAATTTTTCATCTTTGTAGGATGCATGGATAGAAAGACACAAGTCATTCAAACAGAGACATACAAATTATCCAGCAAAAAAAGGCAATTTATTTTTTTAATAATTCTTGAACTCTTAGTTACATCTGGAAACAAAAAAAGGCGATAAATCTTCCTATGATTTTCCAAGCTGTTCACCCTTTCAGCTGCAGGAGAGCATGTCTCTTGTCTAGCAAAATTCATGGCTTTGCAGTCATCCAGAACCACGGATCACAGGGGCATTAAATTAAAGGAAAGTGATGGTGCATCATCATGCTGTGGCAGGCAAGACCTGGCTGTGCTTTTAGACCATTTCTTGGCATAAAGCAATTTCGGAAAGACGGGTACAAGCTATTACTGTTCATTTCTGGGCACAAGAGGGCTTGAAATCCGTGATGGAATTAGAGCCTCAGCAGGGAAAATGTCAGCTGGGTTAAAATTAAAGGCAGAGCTGCACCATGAATTACTTTGTAATCAGTGAGGTTTGCAGGGTGGAGAGTGAGGGAGCCTGGGACAAGGAGCATAAGGAGGCAGCTGTTCGAACAGAAAGAATAATTTTCTTGGGAGCAAATCCCAAGAAGAGAAGCAGGCAAAAAATCAATTTTCGGGTCTTGAGGTTCTTCCTCTGACACCTCCTGAATGTGGTGTAAGAGAAGAGCTGATTCTCATGAGCCTGGGTCTGTCTGGCACATGAAGGCAGCATTTTTGGACAGAGTAACCAAAGAGGGAGATGGCAAAGATGTTTGGCTTCGGGAGAAAGGCCACTCCAAAGAGCTGGCTTCCAAAATCCATCTTTGCATTTTCATCTTGCATGCTGAACCCCAGGCTGAACTCAAATGAGGTAATCCAGAAGATAAGAAAAAAATCATTCAATCTCAGGAAGTAAGAGCTGATTTCAAGCCCTGCTTCGCTTTCTGTGTCTCTGGCAAATGGTCCTGCACACTGCTGTGCTCGTCTCCTCACTCCCGCTTTTCAGTCCAGAGTTTGTAGCAGTACCTTGCTTATGTCTCTCTTTCTATGTATATCTGTATCAATATATAGCTATGATTATAGATATATATAGAGATATCTGTATGTAACTGGATGAGACCAGGAGGTCTTGAGACAATTCTGAGACTCAATTCCACTATCGCCTTCTCTTTCCATACCAAAATTAACTAATACGTGGTGATGGCTGCATTTATAAACCTTGTCATGGTGCTGCTCCATTATCTGTCCATGTCCTTTAGCCTCTATTCAGATGGCATTGTGCTTTGTGCCCTCTGGGTTTTGAGTTAAAAAAAAACAAACCCCTCAGAAAGCTGGGTAAGGCTTGTCTTAAACTTACCAACAATCCACAAGTCATTTATACCCTAAATTTTTTATGTGCATCAAATTGGGAAAAAGTAATGAGAAAGTCTCCATTATACAGGCAACACTACTGGGAGGTGATGACCTAAATCTAAATTCCATACTGAGGTACACCTTATCTGTGGGAAAAATTTAACCTACAAGCAGAGGAGAGCTGGGATCGCTGTCCTTGCCCTCTTTGGAGAGCTGCCCACCACGTCCAAGCATGACCATCCAGGCTGTACAGGCCTTGGAGCAACCTGTAGTGTAAGGTGTCCCTGCCTGTGGCAGGGGGTGGGACTGGATGATTTTTAAGGTCCCTTCCAACTCAAAATCGTTCTGGGATTCTGACTTTGCCCAAGTCACATTTAGCAAGGTGAGATCAGTAGCAGGGTTTAATTGTGTTTTTGCTGATGTGACCTTACAGCCATCCCCTGTTCCATTGTCCTCCTCCAAAATCCTGTCACCAAAGCAGGTGGCTGTGGAAGAGGTAGACATGGACAGAAGGCTCAGCCACTATCAGGACAGCGCGACTGCCAGATGCTGGAATTCCCTTCCCTTCTCCAAAACAGTGCAGAAAAGCCCCCAATTGATGCTTTGCCTCTATGGCAGAAAACATTTGTGAGTTATAAAAGTATCACTAAAATTCTCCTGTCTTGATAGACAGAAGCAGAGAACCAAAAGCAGCACGTTTGAGGTTTATTTTGGTTTTTATCAAACCTTGATGGCTTTAATTAGCCTGACTTGAGCATCTGCCTGCCTACAGATGTGGAGCTGCTGGCAAATTATGGTAGAGTAAGAAAAGCCTCTCTCACACAGTCATCCACATGCACACACTTTATATTTGTACAGATATTTTTTCAAGATGTGCTGCCCATTCTTCTAACCCTTTCCCCATCCATTAGGCAGTTAAAGTGAGGGAGCAGGGAAATATCCAAATCTTGCTTCTTTTAATTAAAGTCTCTTTGCATTCTTTGTCTGAACCCCAACTGGATCTCTCATGCTTTTATGCTTGCAATACCCAACAGGGTTTTTCCAGAAAAATCCTTGGCTTATGTGTAAGCAGCTCTGCGAAATTTTGCTCTGCTTCCTTTCCACATCATCCTTCTGGTTGTCTCCTCCATGCCAAGCACATGCTTCTGGAAGGATAATCAGCATTTTTTTCTTGCTGGCTTTGGGGACTCTTCTTTTCTTGCGCTCCTGATACCCTCCTAGTGCAGCTTTTGGTGATTGTGTGATTGTCCTTGTTAACTTGAAGGTGAAAAGCAGCAAAGTGGTGTCACTGTGAATTTTTGTGTCACTTTGGTACCTTTGTGTTTCTGCCTGAGTGATGCTTCTTAGGGTGCTGCCAACACTGCTTGAATGAAAGATGCCAGGATCGGGCGAGCTGCACTTAAGCTGAAGGGTGGAACTCTTCAATAATTTGATTTTTAATTATTTTTATTACTAAGTTTATCAATGAAGATTGAAGTAGTCCAATAGAACTGCGTGTTAGAACTGAATTTGTTTGTGAACTTGGATTAAAGGAACACTGTCAAGCTTTTTAGGAAAGAAAATTGGCTGACTGACTATTTTTGCTGTCATCAATACACATTTATTATGCAAAACCCTCTAATTCATAGCAGAAACTTAATGGAAAAAATGTTATCCATACAAACTAGGCTGTGGAGACATGTTTTTGCTGGACCTAAATCCTTCCTCTGATGAAGGTTTTGTGGTCTTGAGGCTGTGCCTGTCCTTGATGGGCTCTGCAGTTGGATTTAGCCAACAAGGGGTGCTCCTTGGGTAATTCCTGCTTGAAAATAATCCCACTGTCTTCTGCAGATTTATTCAGAAGCTGATCACCAAAAAAACCACTGCCCTCAAAATAATCAGTAAAAAAGGCTGCACTTGCCAAATAAACGTGACAGCAGCCAAAAGTTTGGTGTTTGGGGTCTCACTGGTGTTAAGGTGAGGAAGACACCCCTTGACAGTGTTCCTGTGGAAAATTCAGATCAGTCCTTTCCCATGGTTTGATTTGTTGATATGAAATGCTCCCATAGGTGCTGGCACAAAGTGACTCCACGGTGACCTCCCCACGCCTCACTGGGAGTGTGGCACGTCCTGGACTTGGCTAAGCATGACAGAGAGACACTGTGTGTTGGCACATTGTCACTGGTGTCACCTCTCCTCCACCCTGTGCTCACAGCTGGGCCATCAGAAGTCCTCTTTGCCACACATTGATGGTTTCTTCCAATTCAAACCTATCCTGCCAAACTCCAGACTCTGTGTTCTCTGCCCTCAGGGAATATGGAAATGGTGCTTAATGCAAATAATTCACACTTTTCCTTTTAATTGGCAAAATTGGAGCAAAATGTAACACTGATGAGAATTCCAGGTGGTTGTGTCATGGAGCACCTGGACAGGAATTTGAGGGTAACACTGGGCAGAGCCACACAAGGGATTTTAAAAATATGTTAATAAAAGTAAATATTTATCTAATAATCCTCTTTTTGCCCAAATAATCTTGGAGTGATTATTAAGTGTTTATGCTCTGTCTAATGAGGATTATAATTAGGACTGGGACGTGGTCCAGCCTATTGCTTCCATGCCACAGTGCTGTGAGGAGGAACCCACAGTTAAATTGTGTCAAGCACAAAAACCTGTGACCGTGGAGCTCCTTTGGGCTTGTTCCTTCCCCTCTCCTAACTTCTGCTTATAAAATCTTTCTCTTCTCTCAATTTTTTTTGTCTGTTTTTATTTTGCTTCCCAAGGGCATGATGATGCAGTGCCATGTGCGGTTTTGAAAAGTGTGGATAGTTTTAGCTTTCTCCACCACCCAGTTCATCAGAGGAGCTTAGAGATCCTGCAGAGGTGCAAGGAGGAGAAGTACAGTAAGGCTCCACCACCCGCCCTCCCCTCTGATACCACACTCACATGTCCAGAAATGGAAACCAGGTGCATTCCATGTGGAAAGGATAAAAAATCAGTGCCTGAGGAGCCCTCCATGATCAAACCAGCTGCCTCAGAGCAGTTTTGAACCTGTTGGGAAATGATTAGGCAGAGTTGGAAGAGTCAAATTAAAAGCAAACCCATATCTCTTGAGATCTTGGAAAAATAATTCTGTTGCAAATTTTCCTGTTTACTCACTGTGAATATTCCTGATACAAGGCTGGTACAGCTGGAATTCAACTTAATTTGGATTTCATTGGACTTCAGAAATATCTTTAACTTGTGGAAATATTGTGTCCCAGGGCTTTTACTTAAAACAGAGGCATTGTCAATGTCATTTTATGGAATAATATACTTGGTCTCCATTTCTTCATCTTCACTCCTCTGTCATGTAATAAACTCATCCTGCATGACAACATGGACACTCTTGCCTGCACTACTCTATTTTATTTTTTAATTTAAATAGATATTTGGTGCTCTCATGTTTAGATGTGTTATTTTCCTACCATTATTCTCTTCATTCATGTTGCGTGTTAAAGCTGACAGAAACAGATCTGCTCTGCATGGGCAAAGCCTCAGTCCAAACTTGCTTAAACTTCATGAAATTTAGGTGTAAGTGGAAACCACCTTTTTTTTCTGTAGAGCTGAGCATGGTAAGTACAGTAGGTGCATGTTAAATCTTCCTAAATATGGTTTTCCTGTTATAAACCTTCTGTCAGATGTCTGTGCTTCCTGCAGCATGTGGGACGGGGGGAGCAGTGGTGGTTTAGGTCTTAATTTAGGCTTTCATTCTTAATTTAACTATGTTATTTTCCCCACATGTTCCCAACACTGCTATAAGAAAATATAAAGGAGTGATACTAAATTTTGCTTGATTTTACATTTATTAAGAGGTGTTGTGCCAAGTGACATTACTGATACTACCAAGAAACCCGTGGAAAGGAAGATAGTTATCAGCAGAGTAATTTTCCTTGCAATTGATGAATCAATTTAACTTTAATTTTTAAGTTGGCTCAGCAGTATGGGAGATCTTGGGGGGTTTAGTTTGCATTTCCTTAGGTGGGAAAAAGGAAATTCACACAACTCAAGAGATACTTAAGAGCTTTAATTTTATGGGAAGCAGGAAGTTGAATGGGAGCAGGAAGTTGAGTTGAGTTCCCATAATAATGGGAAGCACTGTTGAGCTCAATACCTCAAAACCTCACTAATATAGATGAGTCCACACAATTTGGCATCTCTTAGGATAAATCCAGTGAGTGGATCTAAGGAGAACATTGCCAGTTTGTGAATTGGCATCTGACCAGGCAAACGAGTAATTCTTGTTCTGCATTCAGAGATCCTTCCCATCTCCCCACGGGGTGTGCTCCTGCTTCCCCAGGCTCCCAGCCTTGGCAAGCTCAAGTGGGCTTGGAGCATGTGGAATGTTCCAGTTCAGAATACATCAGGTGAGCTTGGCTCCGGGGACTTGGCTTTTCCCACAAGTCAGATGAGGTTATACATCCACATCATCCTTGAGACAGGAACCAAGGCCATCCCCTTGTTTTGAACTGTGCAATTAGCTCTGAGCAAAGAGAGAAAACAAATTGGTTTGATGAGTTTATTGAGATTCCCTGTGGGTCCCTTGGTATTCAGCTTCTGGAGCCAACTGGTCACCCTTCCCTTATCATCAGCTGCTCCCCTAATACTCTACCACCCGTTCCCCCAGGGCAAGGCACTGGGTTTAGACACCTCTGAATCAAGACTGGAGGTCTTCTGGTTGGCATTCACCATAGAGAGTAGACAGGGCTTATCCAAAACTCTTCTCAACAAGGGCAAAGACCTGTTAGGTAAATCAGTCTGTCTTTCTGAAACACTCCTGCTGAAGGAAAGGGAATATGCTTCAAAAATCAGAATAATTTCCTGCCTGAAGTATAAACCAGATCAAGCTGTGTCTCAGCCTGACAGAAGGGTAGGAAGACAAGATTTTGCTCCAAAAAGAAGGGTATGTATTAAAAAAATATTGGAAACACCAGTGAAATCCCATTTTTCATGGACTCCTTTAGACAAGAAAAGCCTTCTGGGCCTTAATGGAGGAGTATCCAGGCATATTAAAATATATTCATTTAATCTATATTAAAAATAGATCCAGCTAGACATTAGGTGCTTCCTTAGTCTAAAACTAGCTACACAAAGTACTAATGCAACATTTTAAGCAGATTCATGGTTATTCACATTTACAATTGGGTTTCTGTGCTCTAAATCAGGACTTTGAACACAGAAATGCCAGTCCTAAAAAGAGGTACAAGAACACTCTTAAGACCAGAAGTGTAACCCAAAAATGGATTACATGGCAAGAAGAGGGATTGAAAAGAGTTTTGAGCTTGGGTATTGTTAAGCACTCAAATGCATTACCTGCTTGCTTTCCAAAACCCTCCAGTGCTGGAGATGCCAAGCCTTCTCAGCTGGAGTCATTTGTTTGGTCCTGCCTTGGAGCACAAGCAGGGTTCAAAGATACACACAGGGACAAAGGGACAGCACACCCTCAAATTTTCTTTTGTTGACATTTCCAGAATATTTGGGCATCTTTAGATGCAAAAATTTAACCAGGTGGACCATCAGCCTTTTCAGGGATCTCCTCCCCAATTCAAGATGAACAGATTCTCGTGTTCAGCTTCAAGATGAGAGTTACAACACCTTAACAGGGCAAGGAGGGTGGTAAATGCCCTGTTAAAGGGATGCCTTTGGTAGGAATTCATCTTCTCCTCAGGAATTCCAGGCTCAGAACAGCAGGACAGGCTCAGGTCTCAGTGTATTTGCTTTGTGCTCATCTTTCAGAATAAAAAATCGCCAGGACATCTTTTAGCTTAGCAGCTGGGCTGCATGAAATAGTGGAATTATAAATATAGGGAGGACGGGATATGCCATTGCTTCCTCCTGTCCTGCTACAAACCATAGTTTAGACTTTTTTCTTTTTAGAAAGCTTTTTTTCCCCCTTTTTTCCCCACTGTAGATGTCTCAGGGTAGAATAAAACACATTTTCCCCATGCTGAGGTGAGAGCTGTGATTTTTCCTGTCTCACAGCAGTGATTTTGAGACAGTTATAAAATTGCTCAGCTGTTTTCATGTCAAACTCCACATTATCAGATCTTTATATTTTTGTGGTTTGATGACTTGAAGTGTTTTGTTGTCTACAATAATTGTCTCCTGTCTTCCTAAGTGCTTGGTTACAAAACATTTCCACTTCAGGGCAGATAACAGCTGCTACTGTAACCATGTGTGGCAGCTACCTTGGCTGAATACAAAATAGATACTTTATTTAGTATGTTGTTTTATTAGTTATATTTTATTACAAATAAATTATTCCAGGTATTAAAGAATGTAGGCTCAATAGGCGATCAAGCCTTTATGAAATAGTATATAAAGCATTTCCTATTTGCTGCACATGTCCATATATTTGGAGGGAAGGAGAGAAGAAGTGTCTAAGGAATAAATTACCATTTTTCCAAGTAATCTAATTATGTCCAGGTGTTTTACCCATGCAGCTGGGTTATCCCATGCTCAATGGAAAGCTTGGGAATCTTTTGGACATGGAGAACATGAGTGACTGCTCTCCCCCATCATCTCCTTCCCTCACCCCATTTGCTAGCTGGGACAGCATGTCCCTAAAACACCCCGTGTGTGTGTGGGAGAGGAATGAGAGGCTGGAGCAAACAGTGTTACTCACGAGGGTGATGACTCTGGCAGGGAGGTGGGACTGGGGAGCGATGGCATCCCTGGCACCCGGCATGTGCCAGGACACGTCCGCGCTGCTCCGCGCCAGAGTCAGGCCTCAGCTATGGCTCTGCTAATTGTCTGTGGGGATGGCTCTGCTAATTATCTGTTGGGTATGAGCCAGCTGGAAACGTCTTCCTCATGTGCTGCTTCAGGTATCACTCGGAAGAGCCCACGGACGCCGCTCTCAGACCTCCAGGGAGTCAACACCATCAACGAGAGGAGCCCACGGTAAGGCTCCTGCTTTTACCTTGGCATGGCAGGGATCTGGGATGGGAGAGCACTGTCTGTACCTGAAAATGACTGTACTGACATTTCTTCCATCTCACCTATCAGTCTTATCTTCTCTTCCTTCTTTCTCTGCCATGTGATCAGATCTAAACACCTTTCCTGACAAAACAGCAGGCAGGAAAAGCAACTTCCCTGTGTCAAAGGCAGCAGTTGTTGGTGGTGGGTATAGGAGGGGATAAGAAGCTTAAAAAAATAAATGAATGTGCCAATATCAAGGAAATAGTCATTTAAGGAGGACAGGTGTGGGTGCAGAACTGCATACAGCATGTGGTGGCTCCAGGCACCCTGGAATGTGGAAAACCTGGAAGTTATGGAGTTTGAGATGGTACTTTGCCAAATGCTTGCTTGTTTTCAGGGGGAAAAAAAGCATATTTGCTTAAAAATTGATTAATTTTTTACAGATTTTATGTACATCTTTATTTTTAAATCCCTCCTTGAAGTTTCTGGCCATTTAAGTAGCTACTGAATGAACTCAGGTCTACGCTTGAGATACAGATCTGTGCCCCTTCTCCTCCTCCATCTCCATCCCCTTCTTGTTAATTCACAAGAATTAACTTGCTTGTGAAGCCAAAGTCTTCATTTCCAAGGCATGTCTGGGTACTGATCCTTTTCCCAGCTACTCTTGTGCTATCCCTCCTCACATCCCAGGAGGTCTGATTTTCCCAATACCCCTATAAAGGCATGTGGTGCCTCTCTGCTTCCCTCTGAGCAGGTGTGTGCTGGGAAGGGAAGTGGTAGGAACACCCTCAGCTCCTACAACCACTGCTTGGAGCTGCAGATATCCAGGTGTGTCTTTATGGCTGCTCTGAGGTTAATGGGAAGCCCAGAACAAGTCAAGGGGAGTCTGTCTCCTGAAATGTGCCCATTAAATCAGTCCTTGCATCTCAGTGGCTTCCCTTCCACACAAAATTAAATATCCTTCAAGGGTATTATGAAGACTCGTTTTTAATGGCTTTAATGCCAAATGGCCACAACAAAAATTAGGTATACATCGTTCCTTTTTTCTAGGGGAAGAAAAGTGGCTTCTTCTGCCTGGTTTTGTTCACCATGTGCTCTCTGAGTGTCATCAAGAATAGAATGTCCTTCTTCTTCTGAATTCCTCCCCTTTGAGAGAGGCAGTGGCACCCTATGAAGGAGAACTGAATGTTCTCACATCATTACAAGTCCATTTCAGTGGTTAGAGAGCATGGAATTTACTTGAAATGGTGTGATTAAATTAATAAATTTGTGCCACTTCTCGAATTTGAGCAGAAATCCAGGTGGTGCAAGCAATGCCACCCTATCCTGGGAAGGTGATGCAACCCTGGCTGTCCTCAGCTCAGTCTTTGCCACCCTCCTTTCCTTTCTCATAATGCTGCAGCTGCTGGGGCCCTGATGGGTTGGGTTGCAATGACAGCCAGTCCTTGGAAACGCTCAAAGCAGGGAAGGTTGGTGTCTCCAGAGGTGACGTTCCCTGTTTCCAGCACCTCTGATTGTGCAAGTTTCCCTCAAGATAACGTAACCTGAAACTTTGTCCCTTTGGAGATCTTCCCTTGGAGATAAGAGGATTCCTGCAGTTTCTCTATCCAACCTTTGGCACCTTTGGAGCATCCATGAACTGGGACAGGGCTTTTCTTTACTGCCCAGCTCCAGCTTTGGGGGCACTGTAGAGTGGGAGGTGGGGCTGCCAACATTTTTATAGCTCAAAAGATTTCAATTATCTCAGCAAAGGGACATTGTAAAGGCAGGGAAACTCCTCCTGACCCAGGCAAGGAGGAGGATATGTTTATTTACTGTGGAGTTCAGTATGTGGTCAGCTCTGGTTATGTGGCTTAGCCCATGCCAGCACAGCAGACACGTCAGCCTAAACAGCCAAAATTGAGGAACTGTGTTTTCCTCCTCATCCTCAGCAGCTGTGTCCTACCAGCAGCTTCAATCTGAGAATTTATTTGCAGAAAAAAAGTGCTTTTGGAGTCATCCTAACTCCTGTGTTCCTCCTCCTGTGATGCCTCAATACCATGGTCTGTGATCTTCCCTTGGGCATCATCAGTAATGGGTCCCCAAATGTCACCTTTGCCCGTTCCTTCTGGAAGTAGAAAACAGGTATCTCATAAGATCTCCAAGGTCCAGCCTGTGCTTTCAGAGTAGGCTGGTGATTTTGATCCCTTTCATTGTGGCTGCTTTTGATCTGGAGGGTCGTGTCACCCTTGATGAAGGTTGGTATTTCAGGTAAATGGCACTTGTTGGGCAAGAGGAGGTGAGCACAGGAGCGCAGGTAACAGGGCTGGAAGAGAGACTGGCATTAGCAGCTTCCCAGCAGATCGACTGGCAGGCCATTTACAGCTCCAAATCAAACAGGAATTGCTTTCAAAGCCATCTCATGATCATGTGGTCGCTGATAAGTCTGGTTGTGCATCCAACCTACAGGATAGCCCGGGGCCTGTTTCTAAAAGCAATTTTGAGGCATGACATCACTCAGGAAGTCACTGTGGAGAGTTTAGGGAGCCAAGTGCTCTCCTCTGATCTCAGAAAAAAAGTGGACGGGTGGTTTGCACATGCTGGGTGGGAAACCAGGCTTCAGCAGAGTGTTCCAAGTGCCTTCCCCAACTGCTGAGAAATTAAGGCCAGGTCATGCCTAACCAAAACCACTTGGGCTGGTTGGGATCCTGCTGGTTTGTGCTCACTAGTGACACTTTTATGTGCAGGGTTGTCTGAGCAGGTGTTGGTGTGGAAGCAGCTGGCTGGGCTAGGTGAGGGGATTGACCCCAAAGTACCAAAAGCCTGCATCTGTTGCCCTGTGAACGTATCCATCCTAAAGTGTCCATAACGAACAGAGCTGTCATTTTATCTCTTGGGTTTTTTAAAACCACGTGGGAATTTCAAGGATTTTCCAGAGAGGCTGGCCAAGATTAATGGTGTTGTACATCCCAAAAGTGGCTATTGAGTTTTAGTGGTTCCCATCAAGTGGTGATTTTTTTTTTTCCCACCTGCAAACAGGAGGGTTTTGGTGGATGGTACCTGAGATGTAAAGAGAAGAAAGGTGAAAAGTCCCAGGGATCTCTTGGATATTCAGGCTTCTCACTAACCATCTGTGAATGGAATGCTTAAGAAAGCAGGTCGTGGAGCACTTAGGGGTTTTGTTTTGCTGTGATTGATCCCTCCTTATAATAGTGGTCCATGTCAAAATGCTGATTTAATAGGATCAGGAAGGAATTTGGGAAGTGCTTAGATGAGGCAGTGAGGTGACGTTGCTCGGAGGATCTGGCTCCAGGCTTTGAGCTGGCTGAACATACAGCTTTACATCCTTTAATTTTTAATTTCCAAGTGGCACTTGAGATTTGCCTTTCATCCAAATCAGGACTTTAAGGCAAAGGACTGCCTTGTTGTCAGAGCTCAGAAGTGGCCAGTGCCTGAGGCCATGTTTAAACCACCGTGTCCTTCAGCATCCTCATGACCTGGTGCAGCCTGGAGTCTCCTCCTGGTCCTTTTCCTCGTGTATGAGATAACTTGGGTGATGATGGGGAGGGGGTGCATTGCAGCCCCCACATCCTTCCTTAAATTGCTTTTATTTTGTATGATGATTTCTGCAAGGCTGATAAAAATTTTAGAATTTAAAACCCCCAACAAACCATTAAAAACCCACCAAGCCAAAAGTATTTTGGTGGGGTGCTGCCCATAAGAGGCTTCATGTCCCCTAGACACCACTGAAAGGCTCCTCATCTCTAGAAATTTTTTGTCCTGATATGCAGTTTGGTCAAGTATCTGTTTCCATCCCTCCAAGAGAGGATTTTGGTTCCTCTCCTTGTTTCCTTTAGCCCTTCTGAAGCCAGGTGGGCATTTCTGGAGACCACAGCAGTTATGCTCTGTGGCAGAGGGTACCAAATTGAGTGACTGATTTGTAACCAGGTCCCAGAGAGTGATTCTGGGTTAACCCATCCATCCAGCTGGGGCTGACATCCATCTTTGTGGCAAATAATGAGTTTATTGCAAATTAGATTTGCTTTTTCTTTTCTGAATGGAATGATTGTGTGAATTTGAGGAGACAGAGTCGGCACCAGGTGTCATGGCCTTGTGTCCTTCAGACCACTAAACGTATCTAGAGGTATCTGCAGACTCAAGGTTTCTGTCTGGGAGAGCTGTTATTGTCCTGCTGTTAATTTGTTCCTTTTGTGAATATTTGATCTTTGAGAGGTGCTTTAGTAGATGATGGCTTCATGTGCTGTCTGGCACCAGGGATTCATCCCATGGGAGCAAGTGAACAATGGAAAGAAAAAAGCAGCAGCTCATTTTCTACCAATGGCTTATTTTAGGGTCTGTTTTTATCATGGAACCGTGGTTTTTATCTCTTCCTAACAGTGTCTGGTGTTGCAGGGATGCCTATGGAGTTGGCTGGAATGGCCGGATGGGGATGAGGCACAACAGGCTCAGCAGCCCTGGCACCTTCCTGGACAAAGATGGGATATTCGTCAACACCACCAACAGCAAACTGCTGGAGAGAGCCCATGGCATCCTCATGTCAGTACCCAGGAGGGGTCTGGGCTTTACTGCTGCAGCACAAAAATGAGCAGCAAGGGTAGTTAGGGGAATGTAAATAGCCAGGATATAAAACTCTCAGGGTGCCAAGTAGACTTGGAGCTGTCTCCCAGCTGGGTCGAAGCAACGCCAGTACATTTGACATGTCTGATTTAATTTGTCTCATTCATTCAGAATGACAGACAAAGAGAAGAAAGAGAAGGAACAAACCTTCTGGTCACACAGTCTGGAGATACAGCAGCCATGTAATGCAGTCACACTTTTAACATCTTATCAAAGTTTCCATTGTAATTATCTGGGCAGATGATTCACACTGCAGCCTCCTCGAAGGTTCAGGGAGCATTCCAGGGTGGCTGGAATGAACATGGGGTTTGGAAAGCAGGAGGCTGGTCAATCATTTTGTGACCTGGCTTCTTCACTCTTCCCAAATTCCCAGCATACCATCATTTCCAATGTAACCATTCCCATGAAATGGATACACCCCTCTCAGTCTGCAATATGCAGGGCCAGCCCTATTTCAGTGCTGGCTACTGACAGCAGATGTCAGGGGGATGTGGAGGGCTGGTTTCATAAACTCCTCCATTCCACAATTGCACTGTGGATTAACCTGAGCCATTTATTATCTCCCCAGGCGAAATAAGAACTTCAAAGCCAAACCCAGTCTCCCAAAGGTGAGTGAGAAGCAGCATTTTCCCCCTTGTGGTTTGTGGGTTAAGGCTGTAGCCCAGTCATGTGATGCTGCTGGATATGAAGAAGACCATTGTGTCAACTCAGCTCTGTTTAGGGCTCTTTCATTCATATAAACCCAAAGGATTTCACCCCTGATTTCTGCTGGGAGAGAGAGATATGAGCACTTACATCCTCCTTGGAGCTGCTCTGTCTCCTTTTTCCTCCTTCTGAGGAGTATGTACATGCTGGTGAAATTTAATAACTAAATCTCTAAACTAAAATGAGCAAGTAAGTGATGCAGGAGAGCTGATACCTGATAGACAACAAGCTTGTTACTTTCCCTCTGTCTTGACTACATTTATTATATTTTAAGAGATGCCAGGACATCTGTTGTCCCTAGAAGAATAAGGCTTTTTGTGGTCCTCACTGATGCTGCATCCGTGGTCAGAAACAGAGCACCAGGAGAGGAGCAAACATTGTTTTTACTCCTCTCTATGTCCATCTTGCATCTGGAGAGGCACTGATGCAATTAGTCAATTAACTGCTCATTAACAGTGAGGAGAATCCTAGAATCATAGGATGGTTTGTGTTGGAAAGGACCTTAAAGGTCATCCAGTTCTACCCCCTGCAATGGGCAGGGTCACCTTCCAGTAGGCCAGGGTGCTCCAAGCCCCATCCATCCTGGCCTTGGACACTGCCAGGGATGGGGCAGCCACAGCTTCTCAGGGCACCCTGTGCCAGGGCCTGCCCACCCTCACAGGGAAGCCATCCCCCAGTGTCCCTGTTGAGATTACATCACCTGAGGAAGCCTTGTGAGGGTAAAGGAGGGATATAGCAGATGGTGTGATGATAACAGCTGGAGTTTTTTATGGATTCTCTCTTTTTCCACAGCACTTGCTGGATGTGAAGTCCCTCAAGCACCTCACAAACCTGACGTTGCACGACCGCATCACCAAATCCCTCCTCCACCTCCATAAGAAGAAAAAACCACCCAGCATCAGTGCCCAGTTCCAGGTGAGCCCTTTCCTTTGATGGAGAGAGGGAAACCCCCTGCTCCAGGCACTCTCCTGCCCCATCCCCTGCAGCATTTAGTCCATGAATCCCACTGAGGGCTTGAGGGAACTGGGAGACATGGCAGGTATTTGGAGGGTGCAAATGGAGAGAAATAAGAGGGGGGATGGGTATCATGGGGGATGACATGCTGGTGCAAGGTGGGACATGAGGATGAGCTGCAGGAGGAGATGCTGGTGCATCCTGTCCTCTGGTACATCATACTGTGGTGCTTTCTCCCCCAAATCCAGAAACCATCAAATCCCCAAATCACGTTTTTTGTAGTCTTTATACTCTCATCCAGCATAATCTGTTCTGAGACAGAATGGGAATTTTAATATGGGCAGAAAAGTCAGAATCCTGCTGCATTATCTCCTGGTGAGCAGGGGAATTCAGAGGAGGGATCAATCTTATGTTGTCAGTGAGATGTGCCAGTCAGCCATCCCTAGGGTTGGTGCAGGGAAAATAATCCTCCAAGGACTTGGCACTGCGGGGCTCACAGTTGGGCTCAATGATCTTAAAGGTCTTTTCCAACCTGGGATTTTTCTGTATGTGCATCACGGCTTGGAAGCTGCTACAAGACATGTGCACGGGCAGGTGGTAATAATAGAAAGCAGCTTTTCACTTAAAATCTGTGTTCTAAGCATGTCTGAGTTGGTTTTGACTTGTAATTTTGACTGCTTTGGGGTTTTTTTGGAGAAGTGGTTTATATTTAGAAAGTCTCTGTGTGTAGGTGTGGGTAAAAGTAAATAATTAAAAATACATGCACACACATGTGTATATATAATTTGCAGAAGGCACATCTGTAAATTTATATATTTAGCCTTGTCTAATCTAATGGTATTCTGGTCAAAATTCACTCCTGCAGAGTTTAATTCATACCCATAGAGGGGTTGAAACAGGGTTGTTTTGGAGTGAAAGGCCTTCCCAAAACCTAGTTATTCTCCCAACAAAACTCTGAAAAGCCCCGGGGAACAAAATTTATATTTTTTGTATATTTTCACAGCACATTTAAATCAAAGATCCCTAATTTCAGTGAGCACTTGTTAAAGAGAATAATTTTAAGGAACAAAGCAGCAGCATTGCTTTTTTAATCAAGAGCAAACTAATAAAATTGCAGTGCATGGAATTGGGTCACAGGCAGGAAACACAAATGTTTCCTAACGTGGTTTTTTTTGCAGAGAAACGCTGCTTTGTGGCTAATACCTCAACACCAGGCTTGCAGCTGCTCCATCTCCTGTGGATTTCCACTATCCCTAGACTTAGGCTAATCTGTAGGGGAAATAGCTGCCTCAGAGTGTGCTCCAGGAGCAGGGATGGCTTTCACAATGGAAAACAAAACCCCCCATACCTAAAACTGTAGAGCTCCCCTTTAACCCCCATACAGGTGGTGCCCTGGAGACAGGGATGGAAGGGTTCCTGAAAGGCTGAGTACAAGTGCTGAACGAGTGGGTGGCTGGAAAGTTTTGCTGGCAGAGGGACAAAGGAGATGGATGCAGGGTTAATCCAGCGACCTCACATGTCCTTTGTGGATTCCCGACCACCAGATGGCAGAGGGTGCCTGGACCATCTGCCTCAGTCAGGATGGCCCTGAGGGAATGGAAATGCCCCCTCCTATGTGTCCTGCACATCCCATTCCCACCATTTCCAGCACTGGGAGCACTCTGCTTGCTGGACTTTCAACAAAGGGGTTGTGTCCCTTGAGTATCCCCTCTCCCTCCCACTAGCCTGTGTGGGCACAGCGGGTTGCTGCAGCATTGCTGCTGGTTGAAAGCTCCCAATAGGCTTCTTTTGTGTAAAAATATTTAATTTCAGATTTTTAGAAAACCAGGAGCTTGCCAGCAGGGGTCTGCCACGTCATGGCATTATTGCTGCTCCCTGGGACAGGAGCAGGGATATTTGCATGAAGTTAATGTACATAACACAGCTGCATCACATGTGCGTGGGATCCATCCCTTGCTCCTTCCAAAATCCTGGATGTGAATGAACATCCAGGATTTTCATGTTTTTCTAAACATGAAAGGCTTCCCATAAAGATGTCTTTGAAATGATCAGAAGGAAAAAAAGGCTTCCTGTGAGCCAATCTGTGGGTAAAATACTTCTTTGTAATACTACACCAGTTTATTAACTCCTGTATTCCAAAATTTATAACTCTGCTTACATCCTTTACATGACTCAGTTTTAAACTCTATTATAATCAGGAGTAATCAACTCTCTGGCACTTTACCAATGCCATGTTTGTAATGTGCTCAGCAATTAGAGATGCCCAGAGTATTTATAGGACACAAGAAAAAAATGTGGCTGAGGAACCTGGCCAGCATTGATGGACTCAGCACGCTCTGATTTTCAGCCTGGTTTTTTTCCAAGAGCTTGTTATTCATCCCAAAAAGTCAAAGGTTTGCAAGGTGAAAGGATAACTCAGCATGACATCCCACTGGAGCAGCTGGCTGTAGAGTGATGCCAATGTAAATTCAGTTTATGGGAGAGACTTTTAATGGTGATGAATAAATAAGGGGAAATAGAAAAATGGAACCAGGAAACCCCTTGATTCTCAGTGATCCTTCAGTCAGGAGCATGCCAGCATTGAAGCTCTTCTCTAGAAACAAACTGTGAAGTGTTCAGGGTTGCAGACTTCAAAAATATTTGTGAATTCCCAATTTTGCCTCGGCAAAACTTTCATTTAAAAAAATTCATTTTTAGGCCAACAGTAAAATTTTGACAATTAAAAATCAGGAGTAAATCCTGCCTGGAGTCACTTTTAATAAATGAAAATTTGATTTGTATTTAAAAAGCATTATGGGAACATAAAAAACAAAACATCAGTGATTGTTTGGTGCCAGGTGTAAATTCTTGTCTTGAAGCTCCCATTCATGGCTGGAAAAGGCTTGTGGTGTGGAGTGGGATGGGAATTTAGGCTCCAGGGAAGCCAGAGATCTGAAAATCCAGCCAGCATTATATTTATCTTTGGTTTCTTTACTGGGGGCAAAGACAAAATCAGCCAAATTGCTTGTGCTAAAACACTAATTTGGGAGAACAATTTCCCCTGTGCCTCATTTACTCATAATTAATTCCAGTTTATGTTGGTCTATGATTTAAGCATTTGGATTTTCATTATCCCCCGTGGTGTCCTCTCCCTTCCCTGTGTCTCCTCTGTTGCAGGCATCCCTCAACAAACTGATGGAGACCCTTGGCCAAGCAGAGCCGTATTTTGTCAAGTGCATCCGATCCAACGCCGAGAAGGTAAATGCCGTCCTGAGAAAGCAAGATCCTGCTAGAAATCAGCTTGGGAATCTTTTTTCCATTTTTACAGGGAGTTAGATAGGAAACAAACCCTCAAGTGGAGCTGAATTTAGAAGATTTGAGCAAGGGGAAGCGTGGATTTATCACTTGGATGTCACTCTTGATAAACTGCAATGGCTCTTCTTATATTTGTAGAAACACATGTATACAAATAATAGTATTTTCATTTATATGAAAAATATATTTGATTTAACAAATGAATTTGACTCCTTTGAAGCTTCTGACCAGCCATAAGAGAGATTTATAGAACCATGAATTCACTTGTGCTGGGTCTGAGCCCTGAAGCTTCCTTAAAATAAAGTTTCCGTAGGTAAAAGCAGATACTTTTAGAATAAACTACATGGATCACACTCACTCATATTTCTTGAATTTATTTTACATAATTGTGTCATGGGCCGAGGACCCTCAGTTCAAAATGTAGGGATCCTTTGTAGATTAATCCTTCCGAGTTTTATCCAGGCATTTAAAGCTGAAGCTTTTTGCATTGGATATCATTTACTTGCTCAAAATATCATACATTAACTATGCCCTTGGAGACTCTTTTTCAATTGAAATGCAAAAAATCTTTTTTATGGCTTTATTTCTCTAGTGAGCTGTTTGAAAGTCTTACAAGCAAACAGGATTCAATCCCAGTGGGATTAGTTTGGTTCCTGGGGACCCACATTCCCTCCCTCCTGTAGCATCGCTGACAATGTGTGTGTCATGCACATGTGCTCCATCTGCTGAACCCTTCACCCATCCATGCACTTAAAAGCTTCAGGGAAAGGAAATATTTGCTCATCCTTGGTCTGGTTTTCCCCTTGCAGCTGCCCCTGAGGTTCAATGACAGCCTGGTGCTCCGGCAGCTGCGCTACACGGGGATGCTGGAGACCGTGCGCATCCGCCAGTCAGGATACAGCTGCAAATACTCCTTCCAGGTGGGGTACAATGGCCTTTGTCTTCCATCACCTTTAGCATCATTAGCAGAGTCATCTGAGTGTTGCTGGTTCAGTTTTTTGTCAGGGTAATTAATTTCTAGCCCTTGGAAGGCAGTGGATGTAACAGGCTGTTCTCTGCCTATGAGCCAGTCCAGACCTCAGGGAGGGCTGTGAGCCCCCTGCACCATGATTTTAGAGTAAAACCAGTATTTTTTTGCAACATGGACTCCCTTTTGGAAAAAACTGATTTTGCACTGATTTTTGTTCTCTTCTGCATCTGGAATTACCAGGAGCAGTGTTAGCCCTGTTATGTTGGCTGTGTCCCATCAGGAGGATGAGATGCATCCTCTGAAGTGCTGGAGTTAGCCAGCTTTTCCTGTTTTCCTCTTTTCCATGTGTTTGCCAGGTTTCGTGTACATGTCGGTCCTTTCATGCTTTGCTGGTGCTGATTGGTTTCCTGCTTGTGGCTGCTTTGGGGCAGATGTCACATTCTGCACAGCAGCTGTTTAGAAAAAGAAAAATGCTCAGTATTTTTTTGCCGTGAGCAGGGATCCCAACCTTGCTTGGTAGGATCTATCCTCTTGTACCTACTTCACTCTTTGAATCCTCCCAGCAGTAACGGCTGGATAATCTCAGGGATGTTTTGCAGATGTTGGTATCCACCTTCCATTGCCGCCCTTGCTGGGGATTTGGAGCATTTTTTGCTCAGGCTGACCCTTTGGCTCCTGCAGAACCTCTCCTCCCACGCTGAAAAATGTTTGAACCTTGCTAGGTCCCTGCTTTGATGTCTTTCCCATCAAACCGCAAATGTTGGATGAATCTTGGTGTTCCTCGGTGCATAAAATGTTATCTGTCCTTCTGCTCACTCCAGAGCTCTTGTTTCATGTGGCCAGTGGAGCAAATCTGTTATTTATGGGAGAAAGAATCAGCAGGACCCAGCTAACCAAATCTTGGTGTTGCTTTTTTCTTTTCCTTCTCAGGATTTTGTGAACCATTTCCATGTCCTTTTGCCACAAGGGATCAGCCCATCTAAGCACAATATCCATGATTTCTTCCGGAAGATAAAACTCGATCCAGACAATTACCAAGTTGGAAGAACAATGGTAAATGTTCATCCTCAGTTCAACCTTTAAGACACAGATATAACATTTGCCTGTATTTCTGTCTGATAAATTAATACCTATATATGGTTTTAATTAATGAAACTATTTTTCTTCTGTTTACCAAAAATCAATGATTTAAATGAAACTTTTAATATTATTAACATAGAAGAGTAAAGAATAATATTGTTTTGTTATTGATTGTAAAGAGGCAGCCTCAAAAAACTCATGTCCTCCAAAATCTCTGTGTGTGTGTAGACTTGGCTTGATACAATGGTTCTCATTTTGCCTCCCCTGATGGGAAAACTCTATAATTCAGAGCTTAGACAGTCACAGGCTGTTGTGAAACTGCTGAAACTTGTTAGAGGTGCCTTCACAAAAATCAGCTCCTCAACTTTCCTGGGAGCATTCAGGACACAGAAACCAGGAGGATTTGACTCGTGGTCTGGGAAGCTTTCCATGCTAGTGTTTTTTGGGTTGTTTTGGCCAGGTTTTCATGAAGGAGCGGGAGCGGCAGCTTCTGCAGGACCTGCTGCACCAGGAGGTGCTGCGGAGGATCACGCTGCTGCAGCGCTGGTTCCGCAGCCTGCTCTGCAGGAGGCAGTTCCTGAGCCTGCGGCACGCGGCCATCAGCATACAGGTGGGTGCTGGTGCTGGACTCCAGTGCAAATTACCATCCCCAAATCCTACAGACAAAGCCCCTGGGTAAAATCAGCTCTCCTGTCCAAGGAAGGAGCTTGCAATCAGGATTGAATCCTTCTGCCGTAATAAGTTGGGAGTGGTGAGGAGCTGGAGAGGTTGCATGAAGGCAGGTACTGTCCCTTCACACAGCACCCGTTACAAGGAATCCCCTGCTGTGTTTGCAGAGATTTTGGCGAAGCTACCAGAGCCGAAAAAAAGGCAAACCATCCCCAGACCCTCTGGTTCTCAGCAAAGCCGCTGTCATCCTTCAGACCCACTGGCGAGGCTTCGTGGAGCGGCGGAGGTTCCTGCAGATGCAGTTTGCAGCCCATCTCATCCAGAGCTGCTGGCGGGAGCACGCCAGGCGCCGGCACGCCGCAGCCACCAGCATCCAGGCAGCCTGGCGGGGACACCGCACCCGGCAGGCGTACACAGCCCGCAGGAGCAGGGCCGTGTGCCTGCAGGCGGCGTGCCGCGGGTATTTGGCACGGCAAAGGTAACACCGTTGGCCTCGGGTAAAGAGGAGTGTGGTTTTGGTGATGCTCACAGGGTGGTTGGTGTGAATCAGGGCACTACAGTGACTTACACAGGGCAGTGTCCCTTCGTGTATCCATGACCCTCTCCTGACCTGCCCTGGTCCTTCGTTTGCCCACGCTTTCTAACAATTTAGCTGCACGTCCTGCTCTTGGAATAAGAGACAGAACCTATTTCAGGTTGGAGCACGTAAGCAGTGCAAAGCCAAGGCTGTAAATACTCACAAGGGTTTTTTTTTTCCACTTGGCAGCAGCACCAGTTTAAGTAGCCTATTTTTAACTCAGATTGCCTCACCAATCTGGTTGCTGCGCTGGCTCACAAGGACAAGGGATACCGGAGCCAGCCGCTGTGGAGGGCACAGGCTGTCCAGCCATGCCTTGGCCCTCTGGCCGGGGGGCAGGTCACAATTCACTCTCCAGAGGTGTTGCCTGCAAGGTGTGGAGCACCTTAACGTCGCTTGGAACATTTGGGAGCTGCAGAGAGCTCTTGGTGCCGGGCACAAGTCCCTGCTAAGTTGTTCCAGACGCAGTCCGGGCAGGATGGCGAAGATGGAGAAGCCAAGGGGTTGTGATGGGTTAAGCTTTTCTGGCTCTGACAGCTTATGAAGGGGCTGGACCAGAGATGGAGGTTGGACCCGCTGCCATCGGCACGAGGGGAGCTTTCAGGTGCGTTGGGGCAGCCCTTCGGTAGCAGAGATGGCAGAGGAGGAGGAGGTTTAAAACCGAACGTGCCTTGCCTTGTCTTGCACCAGATGTGCAAGGAGGGTTCTTGAGATGCTGCTGGTGGTGAGGTGATGGTGGTGGTGGTGATAAGACACTATTGATGCAGTGCCTTGAAGGGTCCTGAGTGGATGCAAGGCTGAATATCCTGGTTTTCTGCTTTCTTTCAGGTTTAGAGCTTTGAAAGAGCACCAGTTAAAAGAGATGCAGCTGGAGAATGGCCTGGCAGGTAGAGAAGAGGATGGACTGGAAGCAGATGGTTTGGAAATTAAGGGCTCTAACCCATGTCAGTGGGAGGACAGCTCATTTGAAGAGCGAGTGAGAGCTGTAGAACAACATAAATCACTGTTGGAGAATAATCGGGTGAATCACGTGGACCCACTGGATACTTCCCTGTACAAAAGGCATGAGAGAGCCAGCAGCCAGAGTGGGATGGACACTGAGGAGGAGATCATCGTGAGAGAGAGGCCCAAGTCACTGGAGGATCTCAATCAGAAAAAAGTGGTTCGTGCAAAGAGGGAAAGCCGGAGGATGCGGGAACTGGAACAGGCCAAGTTCAGCCTGGAGCTGCTCAAGGTCCGCTCCACAGGTGGGCTGTCACCTTCAGAAGAGCAGCGCTGGTCCACCGAGCTGGTGTCCGAGGCACTGCATTCCCCTCAGGGAACCCCGGAGAGCGAGAGCTCTCAAGGGAGCTTCGAGTTGTTAAGCAGTGAAGATACCTCAAGTAGTAAACTCATTTCTTTAGTCTTAGATGAGCATGACACACAGTCATTTTCCATGGACTCCCTGCCCAGCAGTCCCCAGGCTCAGCTGCGGGAGAAGCCTTTCTGTGCAGCGGATGGGAACAACGATTTGCCCGGCTGCAGACAGACCCCAGCAGACACGGTGCTGCCCGATAACCTCAGCAGGAAGGAGCGTGGGGTTGGTGACCCCCAGAACGTTATAAAGGCTCACCCAAGAGAAACCCTCCTTTCCAGCAACCTCCCCACTTTCTACGTTCCACCACAAGACAATGTGAAGGTGAAGATGGTGGAGAATAACCTGAGGAATAAAGCAATGGAAAGAGAGGAAAGGACAGTTATGTTCTCCGAGGTCAGGAAGGACTCTGAACCAGACCAGGGTAAAGCCTTGGAAGAAGAGGAGGAAAAGGATAAACCCTCTACCAAGAGAGAGGAACGTGGGACAGTGACAGCAGCACGGGCCCTTTCTCCAGGTTCTGTCATTAAGAGACTGGAAAAGCTCAACGTGGAGAAGGAGGAACGGCAAAAGCAGCTTCAGCTGCAAAATGAGAGGGAGATGATGGAACAGATTCGTCAGCAGAAGGAAATTCTGGAGAGGCAGCGCAAAGCCTTCGAGCAGCAAGGGAGGGTAGAGGCTTTGCAGAGGACAGAGCAGAGCAGAGTGAAGGACCCTTCCCTCAAACCAGCCAAAAAACCAGACAGCCGGCCTCAGTCCGTCCTCATCCTGCACCCCCAGAGCAGAGGGGAGCACAGCCCCACGCCAGGCATGGCTCCAACCTCAGCAGTGGACATCAAGGGCCTCACTGTTGGGACCAGGGGAAGCTCTCCAGCCCACAGTGCCCCCAAAGACCGACCTGTCAGCATGTTCGTGGAGCGACGAGAAGGTCTGGAACCCCGCTGCCATTCCAAACCAGCTCTGGACCCCAAGGACCACCCAGGCAGCCATTTCTCAAGGACAGAGCGCCTTCGGCAGCCTCGGATGCCCAACCAGGCCACTGAGGAGACGAGGGCAAGCTCCATGTTCTTCACACCCAAGGACAATCCCTTTGGCCTCCAGTGAGTAAAGAGATGGTGGGCTTTCTCCTGTGCTGTCTCCATAGGCTTTCTCCATGGGCTCTTTTTCTGCTAGGGACCTTTTTGTACAAAGGGTCCAGAACATTGTTTCTGGAGTCTGCACAAACCTCATAGTTAAACAAAGGGTTCTTGATCTTCTAGCAACGAGGAGGTCAGAGGGAAAGGAAAAAGACCTGGAATACGATTTCCCAGGTTCTTACAACATTATATAATCCAGGGGAGATAATCATGGACATGAGCAGTGAAGAGAGTCAATAAGCAGGCTCAATACTGTTATTATTTACCCTACATGAACAGGGATAGGAGTTTATTTCTCAAGGTGAAATATGATGAATAAGTTCTTAGGATTTTTGGGTAGTTGAAATAGAAATGACTTGATGAAGCAGAAAATTCCAGGATTTTCCTTGTTTACCATATAATTAGTCCAGCAAAGACATGTGGACGCTGACCATTGCTAGATGAAAAAACATCAGCTCTCCAGAGAGAGTTTGTGCATGAATGCTCTTTGGACACCGTATCATTCACATATGTAATTAATTACACCTGTAATGGACTTAGCAGTTGCTCAGCTCCGTCACTTTGCTTAACTTTGGGCTGCTCCAGGGTCTGGACATGGCAGCCAGATCCTGGGACAACATTTGCTCCCACTCTGTTGTGTTGCTTAAGGTGCTTTGCCTAATTTTGGGGTGGATTTGGCCATGTAGCTCAAAAAAGGATATAAATCACCCTCCTCCTAAATCCTGCTGCACCCTTTCCAAGGCAAAAGCTCTCAGTGAATGACTGTTGGTAAATCAAGGTACTTGCAAGTGTAGTAGTCTTGTGGTTTCTGTGCCGTTGTGACAGGAGAAGATTCCTGTTGAAAATTTCTTTTCCTGGTTCATGTGCAACATGAACAAGAAACAGGAAGAAAAAGACATTAAGAATTGCCGTATTTTAATTTTTGCTCTGCAACAGAATAGTCACATTAGAGAACCCCAAAATACAAAGACACAATCCATAATGACCTTGCTGTTTAAAGTTGACAAGGCAGAATGTTTTCTCTTCTTGTCTTGTGGTATTAAGTCCAGTCCTGAAGAATCCAAAACCCTTTGACCTCAGACTTGCAATTTAGTCTTGACTGCTTGGACTCCCAGGATCTGGGCTAGCATGGTGGGAAGGCTTTTGGGAGAGGATGAAAGATCTCTGTTCTGTTGTGTTTCAGCAGAGAGGCAAATCATCAGTGCCTTTCCAAGGGTGAAACACGGAAGCCATTTAAGATGCCAGGGTCTGGCAGAGGCGAGGTGAGTTGTGATTTGTTTATTTTCTCTTTCCATTGAAAAGGGCAAAAAATAACTTAGTTGGCCAGTTTTCCCTCAAAAGCTTCAGAGAAGTGAAGTCTGAAGCACAAGGGCTGCTAGACATGGGAAGGGGGATATGACAGCACAGTAACCTCCACACCTTATCTTAAAATAAAAAACCCTGTAGGAATAATTTGTAGCAGCTCTGGATTAAAGGATCCCGTGATCCTGATGCAAACACTGTCCAACGCCGTCTTGTCTTGGTTTGGTTTAATGTCTCCGTTTGAGTGACACCCATGATTGTCCATTTTCACCGTCCTGTCTTAGTTTTTGTTCTTCCTGGTCCTTTGCTGTTTTCACTAGACTTAATACTGCATCCCCTCCATGGGGTGCAGTGGCATTCAGAGACGTCTTAAGGCTGCATAGGTAGAGTCTCCTTTTTACTTTAAAACCCTTCTTTTCGTTTTGTTTTGTTTTGTTTTATCCTTTGGTCAAGCAGGTGCCCAGACCGAGCCATAAAAAGAAAGCCCGCATGGCGCGGACGCGCTCCGATTTCTTGACTAGAGGTACTTTTGCTGATGGGGAGGGGGATACGGAGGAAGAGGATTTCGATGGCAGTTTTGAGTTCCTTCTCTCCTCTGAGCACCCTCCTCACGCCGAGGCGGTGCCCGCAGCCCGCCTGGGGCAGGCCTGTTACAGTGACTCCGAAATGGTAATTGTGTCCAGTGTGGTGGGGGAAATGAAAGCGGAGCTGTGGGAGCCTTTCTTTGCTAACCTTAGCTGCACTGATCCCTCCACTGCTTCTTTTCCCACTCCCAAGGATGCTGTAGATGGGTAAATTTGGCAAACACAGTAGAAACAGAGGCAAAGTCATGGAATCACAGAATCACGGAATGGTTTGGGTTGGAAGAGACTAAATCTCAATTCCAACCCCCTGCCGTGGGCAGGGACACTTTCCACTAGACCAGGGTGCTCAGCGCTCCATCCAAGCTCTATTTCTTGCTCCTGGGTTGATTGGATATCCACCACACTTCCCATAGCTTTCCTGGAGCATTACAACTTGTATTGCACAATTACCTGTTTTGGGGGCTTTAACCTCATCCTCCCTTTGGAACCTTTTGATCTAAAAATGGCCTATATAAATCTGTAAAAAAAGAAAGTAAGTAATGTTCTAAGAGCAACAGATAACAAAATTATGTAAATCCTGCATCTTCTTTTACTTTTGATTTTTTATGCTTAACCACAATATCCAATGATTACTTGGTCCTCAATTATCAGAGTGATTCTGGCAGACAGCAGCTAAGAAAAAGCAAAACCATGGAAATTGGGCAATGAAAACATAGTGAGAACAAAGACAACCAACCAAAGCGTTTTTTCCAAGCACAGTGACAAGTATCCCTTAGCAGGTCTGACATGAGCCAGTGCAGTGGAGCTTTTCCATCTCAGGCTTAATCTCCCACCCACATAAGCTGCTTTTGGAAAATCACAAACAGAGAGGTTTCAGAAGTGGAAGAGCCCAAGAGATTCCAACTCGCTCTTAATTTTTTTCCTGAGGTAGTGGAGATGTCCCCATAGGAGTGTGGATAAACACCAGGAATTCTGTCCTGCTGTGTGAGCTTGGGTGGAGTGCTAGGTAGGGCTGCCATGTTCCTCTCCTCCAGCTGCAGTACAGGATGTGGAGCTGAGTATAAAACCAAAGAAAAGCATGAAACCCAAAGCCAGAGAGTTATTTTGTGCCACAGCATTGGTGTGTGTCCGGCAAACATCCCGTGCGATCCTAAAAGCTGCTTTTCCAAGAAAGGCAGGTGGACAAGGAGGGCTTTTCATGACTTTTCTTTTAGCAGCTCTTATTATAAAGGATAATTTTCCCAGGATAATTTCCTCACTGCAAGAGGGCAGAGATTTACAAATTCCATAAATTTTTTAAGCCTGCTCTTGATAAATCTGTTGGGGGGTTGAGGCAGGAATACTGAAAACATGATTGAAAGACACGTCTCTTTGGGCTGAGATAACCTGGCTGCACCTTTATGCAAGTCCCTGCTTGAGGACTGGGAAAGGGAGAATTTTATGCAATAAAATGTACTTTTTTACATAGAATCATAGGAACCTTTAAGTTCTAAGATTGTTGAGTCCAACCACAAACCCAGCACTGCCTTGTTCACCACCCAACCATGGCGACGTGTCCCTCGCCTGGAGTGCCTTGCTGTGCTCCTGGAGGCTGCCCACATACAAAGGGAATTGTAGCTGTAGGAATCATTCCCTCTGGGGTGTGAGAAGTGCTGTGCTGGTGCTCCATCTTTGGGAGCATCCTGGGTCACTGTACTCCTTGGAAGTGCTCCTTGGGACTCTGCTCACCTGGTTTAACAGCTCTCACTGCATGCGAGTAGCAGTAGGTGCCTCCTCTCTCGTGTCTCTGCTGTGTCCCTCTTCTCCTCTGCTCTCCAGCACTTGTTCTAACTGGTGGTCAGGACTTTCCTCCCTGGTGTGTTAAGTTCTGCTTTCTAGGCCAACACTACCCCTAACATTTTATGCTCTGTGCTACCCTCCATCTGTGTGTCCTGACAATGTGTCCAGTGTTTCCATCTGTATTTTGTATTGCAGGTTTGGGACCAGCCCCTTGGCTTGGGGCTTTTTTGGGTCAGGATCATCACAAGTAGCAAAATGTAGGGACTGTTTATTCAAATTTATTAGCAGAGCCCAGTTGGGTGTTGCAGATGGCAGAGCAGCCTGTGATAAAGTGGGACTGGTGCCTCTAGGGGTGTTTTGGGTACAAACTCAAACGTACAGAGGTTGATGTCTGTGCAGACACATTGGCTGTGTCTTGTGATAGTCACATGAAAGTGAGCCTGGCAGCCACCATGTGCAGGCTGGTCCTCTGGCCAGTGAATAGCTCCTTCAGACAGCTCCTGCCTCCAGCTATGACTTCCCAAACAGCCTCTTCCCATGTCCTGCTCAGCAGTCGAGGCTGCTGGCTGGGTGAACAAGAGATTGTGTGCAGCCCCATGGAGCCAAGCATATGATGGGCCACCAGCTGCTCTGCCTGTTTTGCCCATTTTTTTCTTGGCCATCAAGTCACTGATTGTGTACCCCAGCTGGTGAGTAGAGGCCCACTGGAATCCAATGCTCCTGACCCATGTTCATCGTATCCCAGAGAATCAGACATCTAGAGCATCTGCAGCTGGAGCTGAAACCCGTGGGGCAGCAGTACATGAGGTGGCTGCTGCAGGTACAAGTGACTCCAAGATTCTTTAAGGATTAAGGACTTTCCTGACAAGACCAAGATTCAAGATTTTTGGCTGGTGAATAGCCAAGGATTAAGCTACCCTGCAGTGAGACACAAGTGGGAGGAATAGTTCCTGGCTGTTCTGCCAGCGCATGTTAACACCACTTTTGTTTGGCACCTAAACCTGGAGAGCTTTCCTGTAGCAGCTGCATAAATGGAAAGCCTTGGCTAGAGGAATCACACCAGAAATACTCTCTGGAAACATCCTTAGAGAGTGGGACCTGGATAATGAACCAGTCATTTTGCTCCACTCTCCACACTAAAGCCATGAATTGACAAACATCAGTCCAAGAACCTGCCACCAGCTGATCCCAAGTACTGCTGAAGAGCCAGCAATGAAAGAAGATCTCTTGTCCTAAGCCATTCAGAGAGAGCTTCAGGAAGTTTTTCCATGCAGCACCCAGCACTGCTGCCTGCTGGGATAAATCCCTTGGCCATAGTTACCTTATGGGTGGGTGAAACACAGGTTACTCTGTCAGAGGAAAACTACTTGGTCCCTTCCTCAACCAGGAGACAACTTCAGACCCCCAGTTATTGCCATTGCCCTCATGATGCTTTGTGGTGTTCCCAAGGAGGGGATTTTCTGGTGCAGATGCTCATCTTGACATCTGAGAAGGTTTCCCATCCTTTCCCTTCAGAGTTTCATGGCAGATAACCTCAAACAGAAGGATCCTGTGCCATGCGCTTTAGTCTTTATTTACTAAAGCTGGAAACTCAGAAGGTTGAAATTACTCAAGAACAAAACCATACTGTGGGGGCAAATATTTAACAGATCATTTTTAAAACAAGTAGTAGGTTTGGGCTGGATGGAGATCACTTTTATAGGTTTTGAATTGCTTTTATCCCAGTATCCATCCACAATTTCTGTGTGATCATCACCTAAATGTAAGAATGACAGGAACAAAATCTCTTTTATGGTTTAGGCAGTTCCTGACTTTCCCAGTGGTAATTTTGCCTTGCATGCTGCCATCTCCTGGCTGGAAGAGATGTTAGTCTGCGGGGGGGAGGGAATAAAACATGGAAAAAGAGTCAATATGGCAAATGTAATCCCCTGCAGCCTACTTTTTATAGAATTTTATATAAATATTTTTAACAGAAGTAAAATAATTGCTTTAAAACATAGAGCATTCAATTGAGACATTGAAGTGATAGGAAAGCTACAGGAGATATTTGACCATCATCTCCCAAATCCTTTCACACAATCTGATTCTCCACTTTTCTTATCCTGAAAGTTTCTCCTCCAGGAGTCCAGTTCCCAAATCACAGTTGAAATTGGAAAATAGAACAAAAATTTAGATTTTTTTTTTTTTTTAATATGGCAAGTCTATTTCTGGGCTGCTTCATGGAATCCTGTTAGGTTGAATTACTGCAAATTCATCCCACCCTTAAAAATTATATGAGGTCATTTTAAAGAGTGGCAAAGGTGGAGATATTTTCTGTTAAAGCTGCAAAATTTCTTCATTAAAACGTTCCTTTTGGTGTGTCCTTGGCACAAAGACTTTGGGGTTTTTTTGTGTAAAGTGCTCAGCAAGAGTTGGAGGAGGAACTTCTGCTGGGACAGATCCAGATGTTTGAAGGTTCCCTTGGGGAATCACGTCATTGTGGCTAACGGGACACTCTGGTGGAGAGCTGGAATGTCTGGATGAAGAGGGTGGAAGAGCTGTGCAGGCTGAGCAATATGGACCTGTGGCTTGGTGCAAACTGGTTTTCATCACCGATTGCTCAAGGAGAAAGAAGGTTGTGCCTGGTTGGAGAGTTGGAGCAAGGGAAATGCCTCTCTTTATTAGGAGTCATTAAAACATTTCTCTCAGGGCTCACCAGGACTGTAGGTTTTCACCTGTAGGCAAATATAAATAAAGAAGTAGGAGATAAAATAGCTGATTTTTGATAGGGAAAAAATATTATCTGATATCCCAAGAGCTGTCTTATTTTAAAATGCTTCGTGCTTGGAATCGTTACAGACCGTGCAGCGATTCACCTCCGGGGAAGGCCAGGCCAAATTGCACAAAACCATGTCCCAGGGGGAGATTGGGAAGCTGGCAGCCACACAGAAGAATCTGACTCCAGATGGGAGGTAAGAATCATGGCTGGAAATGGCAGACAAGTCCTTCCTGTGTCCCTCTTGCTCTTCAACGCCTTGTTGAGTCACCCAGGCTCCTTTGGAGGTCCACCTGCAGCATGAGTTACCCATCCCAACTTTTCTACATGACCATGGGCAGGCCCAATCAGTGTGTGTGGCTCGCACCACAATTAAGCGTTGGTGACATGGGCCACACGACCTGTCCCAAACCACCCAATCCCATGCATGCAAATGAATTTTCTCGCCTTTGCTGAGGATGAGTAGCCATGTTTCCCTGGTAGAAATTGCATGGATTTATCTCCTCAGGGATGTCCAGAAGATTGAGATAGTTTTGGATAGAAAGCCCTTTCCTAGTTAAGGCAGTTCCTCTTTCCATGACTTATTTCCAGGCCTCAGCGAGCCAAGATGAGGTTTTGGGTGAAGGGAAAGCAGGGGGAGAAGAAGACCCCCCGGGAGAAGCTTGCTACCCAGTCTGAGCTGCTGGAGCTGTACGCGGAGCAGGAGGCCCCTGGCAGGGAGACCATTTCTGGATTGCAGATTGGTGAAGGTACGTGGTGGGGAGACACAGGACCAGTTGTAAGGAGAGAGAAACTGGGTTGGGAAATTGGGATATATCCATGCTGGTTCGTGTCTCTTAATTCATGGGTGGTGTCAAGCCAGAGCAATGGCAAGTAGGTTAGAGTGTGGGATCCATAATGGGTTTCAAGGAATTCCATGTTGCTAATCCTTCCAGTCACCATCTGGAATGGACAGATGTTTCCTCCCTAGAGGGAGGAAATAACCGAAGCAGAAATGATGTTTAATCTTCCCATGAGTTCTGCACTGTGCTTTTCTCTTCCACAGGTTTCTTCCAATGCCCTGTTTTAGTGTCACAATTATTTTTCATCTGCTCCTCAATCTCTTCCCCTCTTTTCATTGATCACCAGCAGAGTTGGGTCCCCATCACCTGACGCCCCCGCGGAGTCCTGAGCTGTCGGGCATCTACCGGCGGGAATTCAAGGAGAACAAGGAGCCCTCTCCCAAAGTGAAGCGCAAGCGCAGCGTCAAGATCAGCAACGTGGCTCTGGAGCCTGTGCAGTGGCAGAACGACTCCCTGCAGATCATAACCAGTGCCAGTGACCTGAAGAGCATGGATGAGTTCCTCCTGAAAAAGGTACCTCCTGCCTTCACTGCTCCATAAATGGCCACAGAGATCCAGGAGCAGACAGAGGCAATACAGTAAAAATAATCCCATGGGTAGCTGTAGTAATGCTAATAATTCATCTAAAGGTGCCAGGGCAGGTCTGGAGAAATTTCTGGTTTTCATGCAGGAGAAACCACCTGGTGATCATGGTGGAGCAGCTGCTTCTTAGTGCTGCTTCATCTCATGCAAGCTCTGCTGCAGCAAAAGAGTCATGGGTGTAAAAACCCCCTTGTTTTCCCAGATGAATGAACTGGACAACGAGGATAGCAAGAAGGACACGCTGGTGGATGTTGTGTTCAAGAAAGCACTGAAAGAATTCCGACAAAACATCTTCAGTTTTTACTCCTCGGCATTGGCAGTAAGTGACTAGATGATGGGTAGGACTTCCACGTCCAGGAGAAAGGGGATATTCTGGATTCTCCTGGTGGTACAGGTGTTGCCAAGCCCTTCATTTCTGGTTTGCTCATCCCAAAGGATGGATGTGCTTCCTTTGTATTCAGTCCCATCATCTAAATTTGGACTAACTCATGAGCTATCTCTCAGGATACATTGGGTGTAGATTTCTGATCTTCATTACAGCTTTGCTCCCAGCCAAAGGGGGGATGACAGAAAGTAAATAAACTCCAATTTGTCACCCAAAGTGCCTGGAAACCTTTGTGTTACCTTTGCTGGTGGTGGAGATGCCTGATCCTTTATTCCTTTTCTGTATTATATTTGAAGTTTCCCTAAGCAGCTGGAAGCTGGTGAGGCTGAAGTAATTGTCTGGAGAAGAAAAAGTCTCTAGAAAAATCCGGGCTGTATAAAAATGACTTTTCTTTTTGCTTCTGTTCCCTTAAAAGATGGACGATGGGAAGAGCATCCGCTACAAGGACCTCTACGCCTTATTTGAGCAGATTCTGGAGAAGACCATGAGGCTTGAGCAGAGGGACTGGAGTGAGTCTCCAGTTAAAGTCTGGGTCAATACCTTCAAAGTCTTCCTGGATGAATATATGATAGAGTACAAACCCCTGGACTACACCGCAGGGAAGGTACTCATCACTTTTCTTAAACTCCCTTGAAGGTTTGGGAACTGTATTTCCATGGGGTTGTGCCTCTGTAGACACCTGGGACCCTCTGTTGTCTTCTCTGCTTTAAGCTGAGCTGGACAAGACAAGATGTGACTCACTGGTTGTGTGTCACTGGGCTCAGCCAACCCCAGATCACACTGGGCTGCCAAGGACAAGATGTTATTTCCAGGGCAAAGCTGCAACCACCTATGGCTGGTTGGAAAGGCAGCTCCTGTGCTTCTTTAGTTCTGGGGGGTTTGTTCAAACTTTGAGGGGTGCTGAAAGAGACACACCCTCTTTGGTCTCCTGACCACTTCCCAAGTGACCATACACATCACCATGGGTTGGGTTGCAGGAGAAGGGGACATGAGCAGTGGCTCAGGTCTGGGTACCGTTCTTGGAGCAGAAAGAGCCTGCACTGTGTCACAGACCTGATCTCACTTCCCTCTCCATATTTTCTGCAAGGCCAACCACAGGATCTGAGGCTGGGCTTGGAAGATGGTGTCTATTATACAAATGGTGTCTATTGTACAAATATTCCATATCCTGGCTCTTCTGCTCCAAGTCCTCTCCAGCCTCCTCTCCAGGCAGGTTTTCTTCAGAGCATCATGTTTTCCTCAGGTCACTGCTGGTGGGGTCAGAGCTGTGGCAGCAGCTACTCCCAGCTCCAAGATGAAGATAGGGAGAACTGTCCAGTGAAATTCCAAAACTGGAGTGATCCATAGAAGAGTTTTCTAGAGTGACTCTTCTGGGACTGCGGGTGCAGTGGAAGATGGGGCTGGAAGGCACTGGACAATGTCAGATATGAGCCCTCTATACTCCTTGCTGGCAAAATTGCCCAAAACCTGAGTTAAATCTCTTTTCCTCACCAGATGCCAAAAACGGAACGAAAAAAGAGAAGGAAAAAGGAAGCAGATGTGGTGAGTTAAGCCTGCACATTAAAAAATCAATGTCCTTGGGGCCAGAATGTCAAGAGACCAGCTTGTGACACATCCTGGGCTGAGATCTGATCTGAGATCAGCCCTGAAAGGACATGTTAGAAAGACGTTTGAGATGGATTTGCTATGCTTGATTAAGGGTCACTTGGGTTGGGTCTGAAAACACATCCCTCATCAGCCAAGACATAAATGTAATGTCGAGGGTTGTTAGAAAAGGGCTGAGAGGAAAACAAAGCTCCAGCTTTCTGCATAAGTTTACAGTAACTGTTTTACATCTCTGGGATCAGACATGGAGGACATTACATCTCTTGTTTTCCTAAGGGATATGATTGTACTAGGAAAGGTGCAGGTGCAGAGCCAAAAAAAGGGGCCACAGATGCATAGAAAACCTTAACATGAAGAAGTTGACCTGCCAAGCTCAGTCAGAGTTTCCAGCCTGCTTCCGTGATGGTTCGGTTCGCCTAGGAGATGGATGTTGGTTTGGGTTGTCTGTGGGGTTGCTGGGCTGAAAAAGAAACAAAAATACCAAATAAAAGCAAGAGCTAAAGTTGAAGAGCTGTCTGTGTTCATCTCTCCATTTTGCAGCAGGCTGAGCACTAGCTCCCTTTTCTCACCACCCAACCTTTATCCTCCAGGTGGAAGAGCACAATGGTCACATTTTCAAGGCAACCCAATACAGCATTCCCACATACTGTGAATATTGTTCCTCCTTGATCTGGATCATGGACAGGGCTTCTGTTTGTAAATGTAAGCACCCTTTCTTTGACTCTTTTCTTGTGCTTCTATCAGAGTGATGAGTTTAGGGATTTTGAAATGTGTTTACTGCTGTTTCCTGCAACCCCATGCTCAAATAATCAAATTACAATATATTACAAATTATTACTATATATATAGATATAGATATAGATATAGATATAGATATAGATATATATAAATATTACAAATTACAAATAATTTTGATTTTTGTAACACCTGAAGAGCTTTAGGGACAGGTCTTAAGGTTTCTGAAGTCAACTTGTAAGCCCATCCCAGCAGTCCTTCCTGACACAGTTAATTAACTTTGTGTTACACATCTTATCCCATCAGGTTATGTGCCCATCCCATAAGGTCAGACGCATTTTACTGTCATGGTAGGAAGGACAGTAAAGTCAGGTATGGAAATGTATCCCTAGGATGCTTGTGGGGATCCTGACCTTGGCAAACTCATTGGCTTCGCCTGTTTGACCTCCAGGCATGTGAATTTTTAGGGAGATCAGGACAATGGAGGAGGGATGATGGAAAAGCCTGATCCATCTCTTTTTGGAAAAACCCAAGAGATGGATCAACCCTTTTCATCATCCCTCCTCCATTTCTGTGATTAGGTTGGCAGCTTCAGCCCTGGAGCATTTCAGGCCCAGTGCAGGAAGAATACAAAGGAGGTGCCATTTCCAGTCTCTGAGGATATCTGTGTCTGATAGCTCTCATGGGTTATAGTCTGAGTTGATCTGTCAGGAGAATGAGGGGAGGCTTTAATGTTTCATGAATGTAAATATGGCACCTTTAATTTTAAAGGCTTCATTATTTTTGTTTGAGTGGATCTAATACAGATTGGCCCCTAGAAACTGCAAATGCAACATGCTTTTGACTTGGTAGTTCTGAGAAGTGCTGCTCAATTCATATGAATTCCTGTTTCTCCAGCAATGTGACTTTTGGGATAATTAAGCACTCCTTTTCTCTGTTGCAGTATGTAAATATGCTTGTCACAAGAAGTGCTGTCTTAAAACCACGACCAAGTGCTCCAAAAAGGTAAATGTCTCTCATTACTTTGCTTTAATTAAATACCTTGTGACAATGATCCCAGGTTTGTATAAAAATTCTTGGAGGTGCAAATCTTGATAAAATTCTGGAAATAACCCTCCTTTCAGCAGGAGCTTAGACCAGAGATCCCCAGAGGTCTCTCCAACTGGAGTTTTGTAGATATTTTGGGAATTACGCGGTGATGAGTCACTGTAGATCTGCCCAGTCATGCAGCAGATGTTGCAGTGTCGTTCCCTGCCTTGTAACCACACAGAATAATAGGAATTTCCCTAGCTTTGTAGCTTTTAAGGATTTGGAAATGTGGGGTTATTCTTGGAAATACAGGCTTTTTCTCTACAGTTCTTGCTTACCACAGCTGAGCGAGGAAGGGCAGATGGAGGATGTTCACTGCCCTCTTTAGAGGGGAATTAAATATTGTTTACTGGATTTAAGGGTATGGGGAACAGGGAATGAGAACAGCAGGTCATCCCAGCTAACAATGAATCATCAAGATTTGGTGGGGATGTTTTAAATAGCTTATTTTGTGCCTAAAAGAAGGAAATAGAGTCACAATTATAATGAGTGGAAAGTTTTATCAGCTCCTTGGGAGGCTTCTCAGGGGAGAACAACCCCCCTAATACACAGCTCCCAGAAAGCTGCATAAGTCCATTTTTCCCAAGGAATAATCTGAATATATACATTGAAGATGTGTGTGTATGTGAATATATTTGTATTTTGAATATATATAGAACTTCTGCTGCAGCCTTTCCTTTCTGGCACTATTTCTGCAAGAGCTGGGAATGCCTCGTAAGAGTTTGTGCTCTAAAATCTGGGAAGTTCATTGAGATCTCTGATTAATTTTTTCAGACATTCTTGGAGCTGCCTTCTTTTGTTGTGATTTCACTGCACAAGGAAGTTTTTGTGCTGCATCCAAGGAAGCAAGTTCACTGTGTCTTCATGGGTAGCTTTGCACTGGGCAGTTAGAAGTTCTCTAGGAAGGCTCCAGTTCCTCTGTGCTTGGTGAATTTGTGTTTTAGGATTGTTCTCAGTGAGCTACAAACCATCAGTCATGAGAAAACAACAACATTGGGACCTTCCACACATCTGCTCCTAAGGTTTGCAGGATCAATGAAAGGATGGCATTGAGTGGGAGAAAGAAAAATGCTGGAGTGATTGTGAGGGGAGCCACTGCCTTGCTGAAGGCAGAGTTGTATCTCACCTTTCTTTGGCTAGGGCTCAGAATTTGTGTCAGTATTTTATTGGATCTTTTGACTTTTCCCCTCCAGAATCTCCTGTGCAGGAAGACTTTCTTCACATTTGAATTTGCCAGATATCAGCTGTCCAGTGAGCATTTGCAGCTGGCAAAAGGGCCCTTCCTGACAGTTGTAGATGCGTCTTTCCATGTTCTTTTGTTGGCATCTTGTTTGTTCTGTAGTGTGGAATATCCCTTTGGCCACTTTGGGTCACTTGTCCCACCTGTGTTTCCTCCAGGTTTCTTCCTCCAAACCTGAAAAAAGTCCATGATTTAGGGTAAACACAACTTAGGAGAAGCCCAAACCCTCAGTGTGTTATCAACATCACTCTCAATCCCCAATCCAAAGCAACAGCTGCTGGGGAAGAATTTAACTCTGCCCTGGGTGACACCAGGACACCCCCAGCACTGAGCTGATGCATCCAGGGCCTTGTTTTTCTTGTTTTTTCCGGAAAAGCAACACCTGGAAGCACTTGGAAGCACTGGTATTTTGTAACTGTCAATTCTTCACGTTGATTTAAACACCCAAGATTCATATTTGCCTCTTCTGCTTTGTGCATGTTTGGAAGGTGAAATCATCCCTGGAGATGGTGCGAGAGGGGCAGGAGGTGGAGGACAACCATGCCCAGCTGCCTTGGCTCTGCCAGGCTGAGAATATAACTACACTGGGGTTGGTTAAAGAAAGAAAATCCCAACTTTTTGCCTTCAGGTGCATGTCCAGAGCCCAGGTTAGCATTGCAAGACCTGTGTCCTGTCCTGTCCTCCTTCATTAGACTCACACAGTAGTATCTGCTGAAGGACTCTGAATTATGGGATCCAAAGCTGCACCAGCCTTGCATCGCAGAAGGATTTCAATCCCTTTTTCCCTTTTCCTGTGCAGCACGACCCGGAGCTCTCGCCGCGGCAGTTTGGCGTGGAGCTGTCCCGGCTGACCAGCGAGGAGCAGGCAGTGCAGAAGGATTTCAATCCCTTTTTCCCTTTTTCCCTTCTCCTGTGCAGCACGACCCGGAGCTCTCGCCGCGGCAGTTTGGCGTGGAGCTGTCCCGGCTGACCAGCGAGGAGCGGGCGGTGCCACTGCTGGTGGAGAAGCTCATCAACTACATCGAAATGCACGGGCTCTACACCGAGGGCATCTACAGGAAATCAGGATCCACCAACAAGATCAAGGAGCTGCGGCAAGGCCTCGATACAGGTCAGAGGTGGGAGGAAAAGATCCTGCTTGGGGAGGAAAATCTGCAGCAGCAAAGTTGGATGGGAGGAAGGTGGAATGTTTTAGCATTCCTGACTCTGGGCTGTGCAAGGAATGATTTCACATTAGCAGCCACAACTCATGGGTTTTTTGGGAGCAATCCATGAAAAAAAGTCGTTCTAATTGAGGGAAAGTGCTACCTTATTTACACCCTAGCAATCAGTGAGAAAAGAAATCCTGGTCCCACCTGAAGTTATTTGCCCTGGAAAATGTATTTCTCTCTAATTTTACCATATGGAGCTGAAATCATATGCTGGCTTTGTTGCCATTAAAGGCACGTAAACATTTTGTATTTTAGAATAATTTATGATAGAACAGTTTGGGTTGGAAGGGACCTTTAAAGGTCACCTTGTCCAGCCTTGGGCTTCATATTGATCATTGTCTCTTGTTCTTTTCCTTCTTGCTTCACCTTGTGCCAAACCCAGACATCGATAACGTGAATTTAGACGACTATAACATCCACGTCATTGCCAGCGTGTTCAAGCAGTGGCTCCGAGATCTGCCCAACCCCCTCATGACCTTTGAGCTCTACGAGGAGTTCCTGCGAGTGATGGGTGAGGAGCTTCCCTCACTATCCCATTCCCTTGGTAGAGGGAAATGGCGGCCACTTTGAGTGCCAAACTTTTCATTCACTCTTCAGGGCCGAACCAGCTGGTTTTGCCAAATTGTGTTTACCTGGTTGCAAAGTCTGATTTTTTTTTGTTATAAAGGGCATTTTATGCAAAACCTCAGGCAATTTGGTCTCAATTTGGTGGCTTTTGCATCGTGGTTCAGCTAATTTCAGCCCCAAAGTTCTATCTCTTAAGTAGTAAAATTAAGTGTTAAGAAGTACCATTTTAAATAGGAGGAAGAAGTAGAAGCTGCCCCTAAATTCTGGTGGTTTCTCCACAGGCCTCCAGGAGAGGAAGGAGACAGTGCGTGGGGTGTACTCAGTCATTGACCAGCTCTCGCGCACCCACCTCAGCACCCTGGAGCGCCTCATCTTCCACCTGGTCAGGTATGCTGGGCCTGGGCAGCTTTAGGCAGAGGCAGGATGGTCAGGCATCCTTCCCCAAGAACATCCAAGGCTTTTGCATCCACCCTGTCTCCCAGGAGGTGGTCATGGAGCTGTTTCTCCAAGGGATGTTGTGTTGATGAGTGACCTCTGCTGTGCTCTGGTCACTTGTGGTTCCTACAGCCCTGAGGTGCCTCTCACCACTGCAGGGACATGTTTTTGGGTGGAAAGGGCTGGTTGTTGCCTGGGGAATATCTGAGATGTCTTGAGGATTGTCTTTCTCCCTCAAAGCAAGATTGCACCGTAGAAATCATCTCCTCTCTTCAGCCATGACCATGTGCAAAAGGTGCAGTGGAAGTGCCTCCACCTCTGACTTCTCTCTTAATCCCTGTTTTTTCAGGATTGCCCTCCAAGAAGAGACCAACCGCATGTCAGCCAATGCCCTGGCCATTGTGTTTGCTCCCTGCATCCTCCGCTGCCCCGACACAACTGACCCACTGCAGAGTGTTCAGGACATCAGCAAAACCACCACGTAAGAGCCTGGGCTGGGTGAGCTAGCACCACCACATCACCATTCACATCTTGGTAACCCCTAGGATGGTCAAATGGCTCAAAAATCGAGAACTTTAGCACAACGGAATAAACACATATTAATTTATGCATCTGCATGAAGATATTTCAAATCCTATCAATCCCCAAGAAGTTGTTTAATGAGGATTTTTAAGTGATGGAGGATCCCCAAGAGTGGATAAGCTTCTGTTTCTGCCTGGCAGGAAAAGGTGGAGCTTGTGGTGACATGGTTTTATAGTTAATGCAGTTCATTTTTGGCAAGCAGATCTTGATTCTTGATTTTGGCTTTTTTTACTGAAGGAGGTGAGTTGTTTGCAACAATAGTAATATTAATATACTTAGATTTATGTATGGTGTTTGCCATAACTGAAAAGGTTTTACAGAGAAAAAGTGAAGTACTTACCCAGGTTCAGTTTGGCTTATACTAAAATAGGTGTTAAAATAGATACTGGAGTCAATTACAATAATGAAAACCCTGCAGTGAAGGTCTAGGCTTCTGAAAGGGGTGGTTTTACCTCCAGTAAATATTAAAATTGTTGAAGACCAGAACATGTTTGGAGACCCAGCTGGCAGGAACACCTGTCTTTTAACAGGATTTCATTGTAGCTTCTCCCTCACACTTCAGCTCCAGCACATTCTCTCATTTTATTACAAGGAAAGGACTATGTTTTTCCCCAAACACCCTCCTGACAACATTAAACAGTCAGCTCAGTTGCACAAGCTGCTGCAGAGTTACTGTGTGCGAGTGAGTTGGAATCAGCCTGCCTTCTCCAGGTTTGTGTTCTACCACTTCCTCTTCCAAGGGGGGTAGATTTCTCTGGTGGGATCCTTGGCCATTTTTAATATCTGTAGGCTGTTCCTCATTCCATCCCTAACCCGTGATCACTCTTTTTAGGAGAATTCTCACCACCCTCTGGCTTCCAGATGGAACTTTCTCCTCCATGCTCTTCCATCAGAGCAGATCTTCCAAATAATCCTTTCCTTGTAATAAATGAGAGGATGTGCTGCAACTAAGGAAGAAGCTACCAGGAAATCCTGTTGAAGGACAAGGCAGAGCAGCTCAGATCAAACGGCTTCCTCCTCCCATTTTGTCTTCTTTTGGGTTTTTTCTCCCTTAGTTGTGTGGAACTAATTGTCATCGAGCAGATGAACAAGTACAAGGCTCGGCTCAAAGACATCAACAGCCTGGAGTTCGCAGAGAACAAAGCCAAGAGCCGCCTCTCCTTGATCCGCAGATCTATGGTGAGATGCCAAAGCCCTCTCTGTCCTCTCCTGTCCTCTCCTTGCCCCTGAAGCCACCCTACCTTATCTTCTCCTGCTTATCCCAGCCTCCCAAACCTCTCGCAAACTCCCACACCATCTCCACCAGGACAGGGACCCTCAGCCCCATGGTGGCTCCTCACCTTTGCAGGGAGTCATACCAAAGCAGGAGGAGGTGGGAACAGTCCATGGAAACATTGTCGCTCCTGCTCAGATGTTCCTGATCCGCATTTCCACCTTCATTTGAGCTTGTTTGGTCCTGAGCTGAGTCAAGCCTTTCAGTGACCAGCTGAACATCACCCCACGGGTGACCTGGACCATTGTTTTTGTGCTGAGTCACATTATCTGAACCCAAAATTAGTTCCCCAGAGGCTCTCCCTGCACCCGCACTGCCTTTTTGGGAGCCTCAAACCCATCTCATTGAGCTTCCATGCTTGCAGGGGCCTGCAGGCTGCAAATGCACCTGTGCTTGGCTTGTTGGGCTGTGGGAGAGGGACGGACCTGGTGCAGCACCATCAGCACAGGCTTGGGCTGAGGAGCCAAGCGGCCCCCTCTGCTTGGACCTGCCCCCTGTGATGCTCAGGGACACATTGCTTCTGCTTTTTGGGGATGAAATCCAAGCAGTGGCTGCCCAAGATTGAGTAGCTGGTGCTGCAGAGCTGCCCCACTCATCTCAGTTAACCAAAAAAACCTCAAACTGAGCAAAGCGGGTTTTCGGAGGGGCGGCGGCATGTGCACTCTAACCTTCTGCTTTCCTTTTCATCTCCTCTCTAATCCAGAAGCCCGTACTAATTGCAGTTAGATTTATGAGCATAACCCGCAGTTCAATCCCGGTATGTATCAACGGCAGCTGCCGTGTCCCTCGTTGTGTGTCACCGTCGCTCATTCCAGCTCTGTCCCACCGGCCATTGTCCGTGACCTGTCCGGTCCCGCCGCTCCTCGGAGCCGCCGTTCCTCCAGCAGGTCCCCCGGGCACAGGAGTTTGGGGCTGGCGCTCGGCCATCCCTGCACGCAGCTCCTCAGAAATACGCTTCCCACCCCTTTTCCCTTCCTACTTACTTTAATTTTCTATTTTATTTTCTTTTTCCATCCTGTGCTTTCCTCTTTTTTACTTTGCTTGACTCATCCCTTCCCTTCCCACCTCGATTTCTCCTTGCTCAGGATGTGTTTCAGCATCAAGTTGCTTTCACAGCGCTGCTGTTTCTGAAGATGGTGAATAAAACCCTCAGCTTGGATGCCTTGGAGACCACGAGGCATCCAAAGGTCTCCTCCACTTTTGTGGAGGAGGAGCACCACCACCCTGACCACAAGGTCTGGACACCCAGGTTTGAATGAGGAGGAGTCCAGCAAGTCCTGTATTCCCCAGCTCCATCCCAGCTTGAGTTTGAGTTCTGTGCGATTGTGACAGGCAAGAAAAGCACCTGCAGGATTTTGGGAATGCTCATAGGGCTGTTTCCTTTCCTAACAGGCTCAGTCCATGATGAAAGTTCACTCAGGTTCCCCCCATTCTTCCACATCCATGAGTGTCAGGAGATGGAGAAGAGCAAAATTTGAGCTCTGCTTCCCTGAGCACAGCATTTCTCAGGGGCTTAACTCCACAAGGCAGTGGGATCTTTGGGATCTTGGGGCTTTTGGCTAATAGGATTCAGGGAGCTGTTCTTCAGCTCAGGAGCCCACGTGAAAAGTGTCATCAGAAGAACACCGGGGCACAGGAGAGGCTTTGCAGACAAAGAAAGATCTCTGAGGTGTGGCTTTAAAGGATGAAAGGGCTAAAATTGAGAAAATCTGGCTTTTAAAGAGAAAAAGGGAGGATCCCTTATCCTGAAAATATACTCTGAGCATATGAGTTGTCAGGAAGACCCAGGGATGCTACAGTTGTAGGGGTTAAATAGCAGGAGCAAAATTGAGCTGCAGCAAGCTCTTCAACCCCAAGGAGATGCAGGATCTTCCTGGGTGATGGTTGTCAGGGAAGGGCAGCAGGTGATGGATGTCTCCTAGTCCTGGTCATGTCAGGATCTGGAATGTAGAAGATGAGAAGTCTGGTCATGGTAACGGTTAAGAAAAAGGCTGTTTAATATCTGCCATGTCCCTCATCTCTGAGAATCCTCCATTTTCCTCTGCTCTGTGGAGCAGATCTGTAAATCTGGTCCTCAGAAGATTAAAACAGTTGAATATAAATCTTTCCACCTCCACCACCACCATTTGTGTCCTTTTTCATTTTCAGTTTCACTATTAAAAAAATGAGATAGTTCTTCAGATCTGCATTAGATCAGAGTTCAACAGTGAGATCCACATTGATTGTCTTACAATGGACCACTGGAGGTGGTCCTGGTTTCTGGATCTCCTGTAGATGAGACATGGTATGGACAACATAACTAGGTGGGAGTTCCTGTTTGCTGAAGGGGTCAGTGAGACCCTTGTGATGCTCAGGAAGTACCAAGGGTGCACGAGGGAAGGATGTGAGACTTGATCCAAGCATAAAACGGGTTTTATCAGGAGCCCTGAAATCAAAGCCTTGGTGATGCTCCCACCCAAAGCCACCATCAAGCTTCCCATCATGCAGGCTTTGGGCTTTGTGGGAACCCAGCCTGCTGCTAGCTGGGCTTGCTTGGACCTGGACCAAGTTGCACTTGGTCCATCAGCATCATCCTCACCACTGCCTTCGTCACCACCTCCATCCCCAGCCCCTCCAATGTGTTGAGTCCTTCTGGTACTTCTCCCAGCCTGAGGGCCCGGGGTGCATCCAGCAGCGGCACACTGAGGACCAATGCCTGGGGCCTTCTTCTTCACTCCTTGGGAGAGCAGTGTGGTTGGCACCTGAGTGTTTGCCACATCACCTCGGCTGGTGGCGGTGACACCGTTGTCTCTCTCCAGGGCAAAGGACGCGTGCGGCGCGGCGCCTTCCCCAGCCCCGCGTCCCCTGTCACCGGCCGCTTGCCCTCAGTGACGGACGTCCCTGAGGAGACCCTGAGCAGCGAGGAGGCCATGGAGATGGAAGTGACAGAGCAGCAGCAGGTGGCCATGCAGCAGGAGGAGAAGGTGCTGACTGAGCAGATCGAGAGCCTGCAGAAGGAAAAGTGAGTCTGGCTGAGGGTTCAAGCCACGTCCCCAGCCTCTGGATGGCATGTGGTTGATAACTGGAGGCCTCCACCCCTCCATGATCTCTCGGTGCATGTGCATCCCTTTCTCCTCTCCACCTTTTTGTTCCTGTTGGTTCAGTGGGGCTGGGTTGGCTTTGCAGGGAGGAGCTGACATTCGAGATGCTGACACTGGAGCCCCGCGCCTCCGACGACGAAACCCTTGAGTCCGAAGCCTCCATTGGCACAGCTGACAGCTCTGAAAATTTGAACTTTGACTCCGAAGGAGCCATCTCCGATCGCTCGGGTAAATCCAGGTGTTCTTGGGTTTATGATGGAGTGGTTTGGGTTGGAAGGGACCTTCAAAGCTCATGTAGTCCATCTCCCTGCCATGGGCAGGGACACCTTCCACCACGTTTTTCTCTTGCTTTGGGAAGGGCTACTTGGGATTTTCAAGTTTATTTAAAGTTGACAGTTTAAACGTATGCAATGACAGAGGTTAAGGGTTCAAGCACGTGGCCCTGGGGGATGGGTGGGAGCAGCCAAGATTGGTGGGAAGGTGAGCATTCTTCCAGCACTGCCACATCAGCTGCAGTGATGCTGCCCACACCGAGATGCTGGGAATGTTGTCCTGGCTTCAATGGCACGTCTCCCCAGGGAGCGGGGTGGTTGGATACTGGGTGGTGTCTGGGTGCTGACCATCTGTGGTCCTTCTGCCCCTGCAGAGAGAAGTGTAGCACTTACCTCCCTGCGCCCTGCCAAGGCCGAGGGGCCGAGCCGGCTGCGACGGCACCCCAGGATGCGGCTGGACCCGGCGGAGCCAACCGACACCCCAATCTCCTCCTCCTCCTCCTCCTCCCAGTCATCCACCTCCTGCTTGCCCCACCTGCCCCGGAAGCGCTTCCAGATGTACTCCAAATCTCCTTTCTACCGAGCGGGGGGACACGGCGAGGCCCCCGAAACCCGGGCGAGCCCCGAGGGCCTGACGGGGCCTCTCCATCATCCCGAGGACCGGCCGCAGTTCACCACGCGCGGGACCTTCAACCCAGAGAAAGGCAAACAGAAACTGAAGAGTGTGAAATCTTCCCCCCCAAAAACCAAAGAGCCCCCGGATGGGGGGCCTGGAGGGGGACGCAAGAGGAACCCTGAGGCCGATTGTGCCGCCGCCCAACCCCTTGTCCTCCTGGGGAGCAACGAGTTCATGGTCTGAGATGCTCCACCCGGAGCCACATCCATGCCGGGGCATCCTCCCTGTTGGCAGTGCTCTGATGGCTTCCTCGTTAACGCCAGGAGATGAATTTAATTAAAAAGGCCGGGAGGGGACGGTTTTAATGGTGGCCTTAATGATTTGGGGGAGCTGAGACCTTTGGGTGGCCGGGGGGTGGCCAGGGATGGGAGGCATTGAGCGGCTCCTGGCCCTTCCCCTCGGAGCATCCGCCGCCAAATCCTTGTGCCGAATCGCCATCGCCTGTTGGTAGGAGCAAAGCCAGCCTCAGAATCCCACGGGAGCATCCCCAGCTGGCTCCACTGCAGCCGAGCCCTCCGCGCTTTAACCACCTCATCCACGCCAACGCCAAGTGCATGGAAAAGTGTTAAAACCTGCCAAAAATCACCTTTTCCCTTTGTTTTTTTTTTATTTTTTAACGAGACCTAACCCCCTTTCCTTTTTTTTTTTTTTTTCCTTTTTGAGATCATCAGTATTAAAAAATAATAATAATTAATAATAATCGAGGACTACTTGAAGCGATATTTGTTTATATGCTGGTTCCTGGAGTTTTGTGTAAATATATATTTTTTTAATTTTTTTTTTAATATTTTTCCCCAGACAGAACTTTTTTTTTTTTTTTCTTTTTTCTTTACTATTATTATTATTATTATTGTTATTATTATTTTTGGGCGGGAGAGGAGGGGAGCAATTGGCTGAGCCATCCTTGGTGTCACCACTGGTGTCACTGGCCATCACTCAATAAAAACATGGAGTTTTACTCTCAGCAGGAAATCCCTGGAGGTGTAATTATACCATCATAACCCATCATAGGACTAATTAATTGTGCTAGTTACTGACTCAGCTTGTAATCCCTCCCCAGTCTCATCATCCTCAGTGGCACCTGGAGAAGCTCTGGGTCCCAGAAAACCTCTGGAAAGGCAAAATCAGGAGCCCCAGGGTAATAATTAGATTTACAAAGGCTGGATCTGTCCTCCTAAGTGGGCTGGACTGGGGCTCATCCTTTCCTGACATGCCACCAAAAATGGGGAAAATAGCAAAAAAGTGAGTTTTCCTGAGTGTTTTGTCTTTTCCCGGCATGACTGGATTTGGCTGAGCTGCTCCTCGGTCCCCTCTCCCCCTGCCCTTTCCAGGGATGGTTTATTTATTGGGGTAATTTTTTATTTGATGTTTGACTTTTTTTTTCATGTTATCTTTAATTTTTTTCCAACGGGGGAAGTGACAGGTGCTGCAGGGAGAGTGGGAACAGCATCGGCCTCGGCGCTGCATCCTGGGAGCGGAGCAAGACCAAGTCAATCACCCCATCCGTGGGGGAAAATGGCATTTTCCCTGTCCCAGAGGGGAAAATAGGGCTTTGGGGACAGACACGGATGCACTGGGAAGGCAGATGGTGACCACAACAGTGGAAACTCCTGGGGAGCCATCCCAAATTCTCTGGGAGCTGGGTTTGCTGGGAGCATCTGAGTGCTTGGTGCCAAACCAGCCTTCTGAGCCTCTTGAACTAAAACCCCAGAACTGCCCCTAAAATGGCCCCGGGGAGGAGATCCTGGCATGAGTGAAGGGTCCAGCCTCGTCCTCAGGTTTCTCATCCCCGTGGGATGAGAGCAGGGATGTCAGATCTGACTGGGGCAAATATATATATATACATATATATACACATAAATACATATATATGCATATATACACACACACACACATATATGTGTGTATATATGTGTGTGTATATATATGTATATGTATCTAATTTCTTTTGGAATATATTTATTTTCCTTATATATATTTAATCTCTATATAAGGAAAATATATTTAAGTGGTATTTATATATATAAAGAACATATATAATAATATATATTCTATATATAAAGAAAATATACACACAAAATAATAAATATTCTCTGTATAATTAAAAAATACATAAAAGAATATTAAGACTAAATACATTTATGTATTTTCTATTTCTTATATATAGTACGTATTTATATATAAATATATAAGATATTCTATATATAAAGAATACATATTTCTTTATGTATGTGCTTATATATTTATGTATAAAGAAGTATATAAAGGAAATTAATTATATATTTCCTTATGTATATATTTTACATATTTCTATATATAAGGAAGTATATATATATAAAGGAGAAATGTACTATATATAAAGAATATTTATTACTTTATATATATTTTAATGTATTTCTTCTCTATGTAGAAACATATTTATGTTATATGATTTAAACATATATTTAATATATGTTTAACATGTATGTTTATATATGTTTCTTCACATATATTTATATATTTCTTTATATAAAGAGTGTATTTCTCTGTAAAGAAATATATAAAGGAAATATATAGTATATATAAAGAAATATATTTTCTCTCTATTTCTTCATCTATGTAAAAATGTATGGAATGTAGGGAAAATATATAAAGAAAACAGACTTCTTGACAGAGATAAATGTATGGAATATATATAGAATATATAGAAAATATGTTTCTTTATATATATATTTGTGGGTTTATGTATAAAGAAAAACACATGTAAAAGAAATATATACATATATATATATATAAAATCCAGCTGTGGCAGGAGCTGAGCAGGACTGGAGGATAATGGCGTGTTCCAGGGTCCCCTTCCCCGGCATCCCCCCGCTCCTTCCCAGCCCTTCCCTGGCAGGATTTGGGCTCCCAGAGGCTTTTCCAGAGGGCTGAATGTACTGACTACTGGAGGGCTGCGAGGGGAATTATTGTTATTTTTCATGGAAAGTTTTCTAAGTAATTTATAAAGTCGCTGCTTGTAAACTAAACAGAGTCTGTATGGAAGAGGATATATTATCCCGCGGCGCCCGCGCTCGGAATCTTGTACAAACTGACAAAAACGGACAAATAAAAGTGTCATTCTGCAAAGGCCAAGAATTCCCAGTGGGACATCGTTCCTGCCACCCCCTGCCCGCGTCCCAGGGCTCTGGGGCTTGTTCCATTTGTTCCATGGGGTTCTGCAGTTGTGGATTTTCCTGATCCCAATCACGTGGATGGAGGAGCTGGGATGGGGAGCCAGGGCTCCAGATCACTTCCCTTCGGATTGTTTAATGCTGGTTATTCACATTCTCATTATTTATGTGCACAAAATTTCTGTTTTACTTGTTATTCACATTCTTTTTATTTATGTATGTACAGATTCTTTATATACAAATTATTTTTAATTGGATAATTTTATTTTATTTATTTAGACAATTTATTTTCAATTTTTCTGTATTCAGATAATTTCTGATTATTTCTATCAGATTATTTCATATTTCTATTTCTATAGATTAGTTTTAGGTAGACTGTTCATATTCAGACAATTTATTTTCAATTTATTTCTATTCAGATTATTTCGTTTTATTTCTGTCCACATAATTTAATTCAGTTAATTTCCAATGAGTCGTTATGTTTCTCTTATTTATATGCAGTTTGTATATTCTCAATTTATTTCTATTATTTCAGCTCACTTAGTTTTATTTTCTTTCTATTCAGATTATTTAAGGAGATTTCAAAGCAGATATTTATATTCCAATAATTTACATGCATTTTATTTCTATTACGATTATTTAATTTCATTTTGTGTTTGTACTATTTAATTCCCTTTATCCAGTCAGTTTATTCTTATTCATCTACTAAACTACCAAGATAGTTTATTTTCAGTTAATTTCTATTCAGAGCATTTCAGTTTGTTTAGTGTCATTATATTTCTATTTAAATTATTCAGATTCTTCACAATAGAATATTTCCAAACAGAGTATTTATATTTATCTTTTTTATATTTAGATAATTTCAGGTTATTTATTTTCATTTTATTTTTATTCCTATTTTTCTATCTATCTTCCTTATATTGATTATTTAATTCAGATTATTTATATTAATTTTACTTATATTTAGTTTATTTCCATTCAGATAATTTATTTTCAGGGTACTTACATTCAGATTGTTGATTTTTATTTCTTCCTATTTGGGTTATTGACATTTAGCTGATCCTCCCAGTCCCCCATCCAAGGGGACCCAAGTCATTGGCACAGGGACTCTGGCTGCAAAACTCTCTTTATTCCGAGTATAAAATGGGGGACACGAGTGGGAGACCCCGGAGCACAGGGACAAGGGTCTGTCACTGCGTGTCACGCCGGGCTGGGGTCACCCTGTCCAGTGTCAGCCCTGGCCTGGGAACAACCCGAGGCTGTCCCAGCCTGGTGTCACCCCCCGGTGTCACCGCCTTTGGCTGTTGTCACCCCTGGGCTGGTGTCACTCCCGGGCTGGCACCACCCTTGGCTCTTGTCACCCTGGCTGATGTCACACCCAGCTGGCCCCTGGGTCAGTGTCCCCGAGGCTGCCCCTGGGTGGCACCAGGTCCCCGTGGTGCCAGGGTGCCTCTGCCTGGGCTCCTGCAGCACTTGGGACACATGGAGAAGGACCCCGGTGAGGTGCTGCCAGTGCCCTGGGCACGCACTTGGGGACATCCCCCTTCCATCCCCAGGGAAGCTGCTCCCCCTCCCCGCTGCCGGCAGCATTCCATGGTCCTGGACATTGCCCCAGGGATGGGACCACGGGCACCTTCACAGCCCAGGGTGAGGAGACCCAGGGTGGGGGTGACAGGGTGCCAGCGCAGGGTGACAAACAAGCCAGGTGACAGCGGAAGGGGGTTCAGTTCTTGAACATGTCACACAGCAGCTTCTCCATGGGGGTGTTGCCGATGGTGCGGCGGAAGAAGAGCAGCTCCACGCGCTCCGAGGAGATGAAGCGCAGCGCTGGGAGGAGCAGCAGCAGCTTCCCAAACCTGGGGGATGGAGCAGTGGCCATGGGTGGGTGACCCACCCTGGTGTCACCCGTGGGGACGTAGGGACAGCGGTACCTGACGGGTTGCCCAGGGTAGTGGGAACGGTTGTGCTGGCCCAGCATCACCTGTGACTGGTCCTGCAGGTTCTCCACCTGCTCAGGGTCCTTCAGGCCACGGGTCTCTGCAGGGACAAGGGGGTGACAGGCTGGGGAGGGGCACGGGGATGGCACTGGTGGCTGCTGGGGGTGGCCTCACCTGGTTTGAAGAGCACCACGGCCTTCATGCAGGCAAATTCCGTGGGGTCAACAGCCAATGCCTTGAAGCGGCCAAGGGTCTCCTGCAGCGCCCGCACGTCCAGGGTGGCCGGCAGCAGCTTCCCAGGGCCCGGCTCAGGGACAGCCAGGAGCGGGCAGCTCTCCAGGGGCATGGACCACTGGATGGCACAGAGCAGGAACAGCTCACTCCATGCTTCCTCCAGCAGGATCACCTGGGGAGAACAGGGGGAACCCCAAAATCTCTGTCATGCCCAAAGTCTCCAGGACCTGTAGCCACCACAGCTGGTTGGGCTGATGAGTATCTGAAGGAGAGCCCTAAGAATGTCGTGGATATGCTCCAACTGGCTGCTACTTCTTTTGGGGTTCCTGTTGCCCCATAGGCAGATCCCCAATTCCTCATGGAGACTGCCAACCCCACCTGGTCACGGAAGGGCAGGTTGGAGAAGACGGGCAGGTTCTTGGCCCATTTCACCGCCATGAAGAGGAGACGTGCTGAGGTCTCGTAGATGTTCTCGGGGCTGGCTGCCGGGTACGGCGCCACCTGGTACTCGCCGCTTGCCCGCTCCGGCTCACTGCCTGTCACATCCACAGTCTCATCAGCTGCAGGGTTCAAAGAGGACACTGGTTGTCACCACACCGTGGGGACATCCACCATCCACCCGCCCCCCTCTCCACCGGCAGCCACCCACCGTCCTCGGGCTCCAGCTTGGCGCAGGTCTCGGCCGTCATCAGGCTGGCCATGAAGCGATGGTTGGTGGGTGGTGTGGGCGCTCGGGGACCCGGGGTGACAGTGGCACCAGGACCACGAGGAGCCAGACAGGGTGATGGGGGGACCTCACATGTGGTGGCCACGTGCTCAGGGGGCAGCTCGGCATCCAGCTGGATGCTGTCCAGCTGGACCTGGGCCGTGCTGCGGGGCTGGCGCTCGTTCTGCACGGCTGTGCAGACAAGGTGGCATCAGCACCGGCCACCCCGCTGTCCCCCGCTGCTGTTTGTCACTGTGTGTCCCCCCCCATCTTACCGTCCTTGTTCATGCCAGCCTGCAGGCACTTCTTGAGCCGGCAGGCCTGGCACTGGTTGCGGTGAGCCTTGTCCACTGGGCACAGCCCTGTCCCGGCCTGGCACCTATGGAGAGAGGTGGCACATGGCTGCAGCCCCTGAGGTGGCCCCTGTCCCCTGGAAGGGTCCTCCCTCATAGGTACCATGTCTACCATGTCTCTCCCCATGGGTTCCCTCCCTGTCCCCAAGAGATGTTCTGTCCCCAGTGGGTGCCTTGTCCCAGTGAATGCTCTGCCTTGATGGGTGTTGTGGCCCCATCAGGGGGCCCTGGCACCTTCTCCACAGGTGCCTCTCCCTCTGCATGCCTGTCCCCTGCACGGTTTTAAGTCCCCCTAGGTCTCTACCCCACCCACACCCCATGCCCTGGGGTCCCTGGCCTGCTAAGTGTCCATCCCAGGGTACCCTACCCCACTGGGGGCCTGCCCCAAGATCCCTGTCCTGCTGGGTGTCTGTCTGCAAAGTCCCTGTCCCACAGAGTGTCCATCTTGGTCCCTGTCCCTTCTGGGTGCCCCATCCCATGGGGTCCCTGCTTTGCTGGATGTCCGTACCCTGCTGGGTGCCTGCTCCCCCCACTCCTGCCCCACTGTGTCCATCCCCTGGATCCCTGACACCCTGGGTGGCCATTCCTGGAGTCCCTGCCCTGTGGGGTGTCCTTTCCTCCATGGTGTCTGTCCATGAGACCCTGGTTCTTGTCCCCCTGGATGCCCTCTGCAGGGTCCCTGCCCCTCTGTCCCCCCACTCCCTGCCCCATGGGCACTCCCTGTTCCCACCTGTAGATGAGCTTCCTGCGGACGCTGCGCTTGAAGAAGCCGCTGCAGCCATTGCAGGCGTAGATGCCGTAGTGCTTCCCACTGCTGGTGTCCCCGCACACCTTGCACAGCAGCACCGGGCTCAGCTCTTTCCCAGGGGCTGGGCTCAGCCCTGTGGGAGAGGAACTGTCACATCTGGGTTGACTCTGGGCATCCCAATGTCCCTCGTCCCACCCACCAGCCCCTGCTGCCTCCCAGCATCCTGGAGATGGGGTGGCTCCTGCCTCTGCTGGTTCAGCCCAGGGACATGAACAGGGACACCTCAGGGGGTTCACCATCTCCCCACACCCCAGCACACAGAGTGATGCAGGATGGGCTCTCACAGGAATTTTGAATATTAAAAAATGGATGAAATGGTGTTTTTAGGGATGGGAGCACCAGGCATCCCAGGAAGGGGACTAAGCATCCCAGAGAAGGGCTGCAATAAGGGATGGGAGGAATCCTGGAGAAGGGACAGCTCTGGGGACTTGGACACCCCAGAGAAGAGTCACCGCAGGGAACTGTGGGGATCCTGGTGAAAGGCCAGGGACCAAGGATATCCAGGAGAGGGTTTTTACAGGGGACCCCAGGAATCCTGGAGAAGGGGCATAGCTGGGGTCCTCAGGGATCCTTGAGAACGAACACAAATGAGGACCATGGAGAGGGTCGGGCACTGCAGGCATCCTGGCCTAGGGAAGGACCATGATGGGGACTCAGCATCTTGGAGAAGGATGGCAGCTGAAGACCCCAGGCATGTTAGCAGACCATGATGGGGACCCTGGGCACCCAGGATAAGGACCATGAGGAGAAGCCCAGCCATTCTGGAAAAGGTTGGCAATGGAGAACCCAAACCTCCCAAACAACTATGGTGAGGACACCAGGTGTCTTGGAGATGAACCATAATAGGAACCCCCAGATATCTCACAGAAGGACCATGACGGGGACCAAAGGCATCCAGAAGAAGGCCATCCCAAGATGATCCCAGGCATCTCAGGGAAAAACTGCAGTGGAGGACCCCAAGTATCTTGGTGATTGACCACTATGGGGATTCCAAATATCCCAGAGGAGAACCACGAAGAGGCCCACAGGCATCTTGGGGAGTGACCAGAGTAGGGGCCCGGCCATCCCAGAGGAAAACCCGTGTCCCTCCGAGTCTCACCCGGTCCAGCAGAGCCACCTCTTACCCGTGGGGCTCTCATCCAGCCCGGCGCTCACCACCGACCCCGCCGGGGACGCAGCCATCCCGCACCCGGCGCTCCCGACCTATCCCCGTCTGTCCCGTCCCTGTGGATCCCCGCGGAGGCTCTGGCAGGCGGTGGGTGCTCCTGCAGCTCTGCGGCCAAAGGGGCTCTTGCCTTGCTCTCTTCAAGGCGGCTTAGCGGCGGGCGCTGTGTAAGCAGCCGCCTCTTTGTCACCCTCTTAATCTTTAGTGTCTGCGCGGGGCGGGGGGGATCAATCAGCCACGCGATGAAGAATTAAAAAGGTGCTGAGCCCCAGCCCTGTAACCCTAAACCCCGCGACACCCAAGCCACCCCCGCCGCGCCGCCGCGGGCACCGTGGAGGTGTCACCCCGCAGTCCAGCCCCCCCAGCACTGCGAGGCCGAGATTGCGGCGGAGGTGGGAGATGGGGCTGGGGACCCCCCGTGTGTGTCGTCCTCCCCTTGGGACCCACCAGGTCCTGTAAGCGCATAAGCCCTTCACTAAGGCGGTTAGAGGGGAATAACGAAAAGTGGTAATTAAGGGGGGTAATTTCCCTGCCCCCAAGTAATTAATTATCGGCCCTGATGGCGAGGGGAGTGGGGATGCTCAACAGGGGCCCCGCCGTGCCTCAGCATCCCCTCCCGGGGACGGGGCCCTCCACGGAGGCTGGGGCTGCTGACACGGCAAATGGTGGGGGCCAGGTGGCCCCGGGGTTATGCAACCACCGCTAAACCCTCGCGGTGACAGGGCAGCACAATTTGGGATTTGTGGGCTTTAGCCGCTAAACCCCCCCCGCCCCGCTCAGGGGGGTGGCGGGTGGCCACCGTCACGGGCCCGGCTTGTCCCCAGCGATGGGCCAGGCTGAGGACAGGGGTTCCCGGCCTGCTGTGCCCCTTCCAGAGGGGCTCAGGGGTGTTGATGTCTATAGGTGTCTCAGGGGACAGGCCCTAGCAGCAGGTCCCTGCTGAGGGCTGGCAGCAGTGACTCCAGCGGATCCAGGGGCTGGGGGTCACCCCTGCGGCATTCCCGACTGATGTGGCTCCATCCCCGCTGCCTGCAGCATTCCTGCATCCCCCTGCCTGCAGCATGGCTCCATCCACCTGCCTACAACCTACTTCCACCCCTTTGGCCTGAAGCGTTTCTCCATCTTAGCAGCCTGCACCATGGCTCCATGTTCCCATGTGCAGCAACATTCCATCACCCTTCCTGACTACGTGGCTCCACCATCCTTCCTGTCTGCACCACGGCTCCATCCCTGCCTGCACCATGGCCCCATCCCTGCCTGCACCACGGCTCCATGCCCTTCCAGCCCCCAGGTCCCACCCTGAGACCCCCCATTTCCCCATGTGCCCTGTCCCACCCACAGCCCCGTCCTGACCCAGATCTCTGACCGCCACCATCTGCGGCGGGGCCGCCTCCTCCTCCCGTGGCAGAATTATGACGCTGGGCTAATGCAGCAGGAGCAAGCTGTCACCTCCCTGCCCGGCCCCTGGGTGCCTCCACACCTCTCACCCAAGGGTGGAACACTCCCCGGTGCCCAGCCCAGGGGTGCCAGGAACACGGGCATCCCGGTGTGCCAGCCCACCCGCGGGCACACCCACGGCCGTGCCGGGGCAGCGGGGAGCGGCCAGCATGGCGGCACAGCTGAGTTCGGCTAATTTGCCATCCCCTCCTTGCCGCTGGGTAAAAGCCAGCTCTGGAGCAGGGATTTGGGAGGGGGATTAGCTGGGCCAACCATCTGCTGCCAGCCAATCATCAACACCCCCAGGAAAGCCAATAATTAAAAAAATATGGTTTCCCACCCCGTTTCTCCATTGCACCCAGCTGGGTGCTGTCCCTGCGGTGGGCTCCCCGTGGAGCAGCACCCTGTCCTCTTCCCGGCGATGAGGGCTCCATGAGCACCCAGCTGGGCACTGCTGGGAGCCCAGCCCAGCCTGTTTTGGGTGGCACACGGGCAGGCCTGGCGTCACGGCCGAGGGGCTGTGCGTGGTGGGTGGGGGTGAAGGAGCAAACGTTAAAGCCCGAGGCAGGGTCGTGACTCGGCTCGGTCACAGATGCTGGGGCAGATGCCACGGGATTACCCAGCCTAAAACCTTGGGATCTGGCCCCCTTCCCCCCAGCAGGCAGAGAGCATTTAATTACTAATTTACTAATTACCTAAAGATGCTGGCGATGGGCTTGAGACCTGCGGTCAGGAGCAGCCCCAGGGCTCCAGCCACCCTAATCCCACTGGCTGTGGGGAGCTGCTGGATGCACCCTGGCCAGGGACAACTTGGCTGGGGACACTGAGTGACCCAGGGAAGCACCACCGTCCTGGCAGTCCCACTCCTGTTGGTGATGACAGAGTGGTGGGGAATGGGACAGGACAGTGGGGACAAGGAGGAGACAATGGGGACAAACAGAACATGATAGGAACCAGGAGGAGATATTGGGGATCAAGGGGTGAGAGTGGGGACCAGGAGGGGATGATGGAGACCAACAGGAGCCGATGGGGGCGGGAGGGGAGATGATGAGGACCAAGAGGTGACAACAAGGATCAGGACGGGGTAATGGGAACAAGAAGGAGGTGATGAGGACTGGGAGGCAATAATGAGGATCATGAGGGGACAATGGGAACCTGGATGTTTAGATAGTGACCCCAAGACAATGACAAATGGGAAGAGCAGGAGGTGACAGCAGTGACCTGGAAGGGATGATGGAGACCAGGACATGACAACAGGGACAATGTGAGGATGATGGGGACCAGGAAGGTGTGATGGAGATCATGAGAGGGCAGTGGGATGCAATAGGGTGAATGGAGATCATGAGGGGATAGTAAGGACTGAGATGGGATGATGGGGACTGGGAGGGGAGGATGGGAATGAGAAGGGTGTGACGGGTGCATGTGGGCAAGACAACAGTGACCAGGAGAGGATGGTGGAGATCAGAAGGGGACAAGACCAACAAGAAGATGAGGTGAAGTTCCAGGAGGGTGGCTGTGGGACTGGAGGTGGCTGGGAAGGGTTAATGTGGCCGCCTGCACTGAGCTGGGTCCAGGCCAGGCTCGGGTTTCACCTGTAATTAGCTCTTGTTTATTGGAGGCTCCTTGATAAATGATTCTTTGGAGGTTGCCCGATGACAGAGGGTGACAGTCACCCACCTGAGCCCGGCTAAAGCCTTCACTGACCCCCGGCACCAGGATTAAAGTTTAATGTGACTCTGGAACTGACCCCGGGCATGCACCATTCTGGGGCAACAGGTCTGGGGACAGGCTGGTGGCCATCCCTGGGACATGGGGCTGGGTACAGGCTGATGGCCTCGCAGGGCCAGAGGGTTTTGGCACCAAGAGGTGATTTGTCATAAGCCTGGTGGTCAGTGCTCACCAAAGCATTGCGGCCACAGGGCTGTTTCCTGACTCCTTTGCGGTCACCCAAGAGGTTTGTGGATGAAATGTCACACCAGGTTGGGTTTGTCCCCCTGGGACTGGCCCTACAGGGTGGGCACAGTGCCACGGTGCAGCCGGTCGGGGCACATTCCCAGGCACCGGTGGAGCCATGTGCCGCTGCCAAGAGCCACCGCGGTGCTCACGGGACGGGCTGAGCTCCTGCCCCGCAGCCACCTTTGGAGCAGCGGCAGCTTGGGAAGCACAGTGCAGTGAGGGACCTTGGAGGTGACCCCAAGGTGAGGCAGAGAACGAGCTCTGAGGCTGCAGCTTGGGTTTCAGCAGGGTGACATGTCACCACAACTGTGGGGACAGAGAAATCCCCCAGGTACGGGGTACCCGCCCCCAGCTCTCGGACATTGTGTTTTCTCCTTGCAGATGAATCTCCTCGCCCAGGTAAAGGGGGAGCTGGCAGGAAGGACACCTGCATCCAGGTGATCCCATCCCTCTGCCATAGCACCCAGTGCCCCTGGACCCCACAGCTGGGACCTGCCAGGTGCTGGGTCCGGGCAGGGGGGAGGCAGGTGTGTCCTGGGAGGCTGGGCTGGGCTGGACGGCATGCTGGCAGAGATGGGTGGTGGCAGGGGACGGGTGTCAGAAGGGGGACGGGTCCCCACCTTGCCCTGCCCGCTCTCCCCACAGGTGAGCTCATTCCTTCAGACCCTGCAAGCCCCGGACTGGCTGTTCCTCCAGCCCTGGCACTGGCTGGGCTCCTGGGTACGGCGGGTTTGGGGGTGCTGGCATGAGAATCCCGGCCAGGTGCTTGGGCAGGGGGTGGCAGCAGCCCAGACCAGGGCTGAGCCGTGACATGGGTGCCACTGGGGCTGATGCAAGGTGTTTGTCCCTCCAGGTGAGCAGCTCCAGGCAGGTAAGTGCTGGCATTGCCCCTGTGCCCTGCACTGCCATCTCACCCCTGGCACAACTGGGCCGAATCCTGCACACCCTGCCTTTTCCTGGGCACCCATGGGTGCTTCAGCACCTAGAGCAGGCAGCCCCTTCCCAAAGGGTTTCCATCCATGGAGACCTGAGACCCAAGTTAAGCCACAAGGATGTGGGAGTGGGATAAGCCAGCAGGTCAGTGATGCTGCTGGTGTCCCCAGGGCACCGGTGGCCCTGAAACACAGCTGGCTTCCCAGGCAGTGACTGGGGCAGTGGCCACGGCAGGGTTCTTCCTCTGCGAGGGGCTGCTGGGACAACACTTCAACACGGTCCCCAACGGGGCGGCTGAGCCCCAGCCTGGGGACCTCTTCCTCTTCCCACTGGCCTCCGGGGGCCCTGGCTGGTGGGGTGCCCACGCTGGCATCTACTGCGGTGACGGGGAGATCATCCACCTGGAAGGTGAGCCCCAGGAGCTGCCATGGCACGGGGACATCTCCACGGAAGGGACATGGGGTACAGAGTCCACTTTGCCCTGCAGGCAGCTCAGGGACGTCACCCTCAGGCATCGTGGCTAAGCACGGCAAGAGCCACCTCCTGCGGACACGGGGCCCGGCCAAGGTGCTCCGGAGGAAGGGAGGGCTGGACGTGGCCGCCCTGCAGCGGCGGGTCCGGGCGGCCATGGACCAGCCAGTGGAGTACGACACCGTCACCTGCAACTGCATCCACTTCGCCCTCGCCCTCCTG